CATACTAACCCAATTTCATTTGCATCAATAGTTCCATCACCATTTTTGTCGAATAACATAAAAACATGTCGAAATTCTAAAGAAACATAGTCAAAAATCTATTTATTTTTTTTCACTAACCTTCAGCTTTTGCAGTAGAAAATGAACTCTAAATAAAATAGTAATTTCATACAAATGTCAAATTGAAAAAAAAAACAATCGTTCACCATTGATGAAATGCAATCTACGATGACGATGTCGAATGGAAATTTAAATGATAAAATAAACGATGCGGCAAATCATTTATTTTTTTTCTTTCGCTATGCAAATAGGAAAGCAAAAAACAAGAATAACCTAATTAAGAAGAACGGATAGCAGACAGCGATGTATGATGTTTGGCGTCAGATTACGCTTGTTTCTCTTATAATTTAAGAAAAAAATAACACGACTTAATGTGAATTTCTACACTTGACAAAAGTCTGATTTTATATAGTAAAAAAAAAATTTTGTTTTTTCAGTAAACTATAAGGTTTATTACAAAAAAGAAAAAAAAAGAGCAAGGGAAACAAAAAAAAGGACTTTATGGAGCTATGTGGATTGAAGAACACAAGAAGAAAAAAGAAAAAGATGGGAATGAGAGAAATGTTTTATTTAGTTCTTCTTCTTCTCTTGAATCTATTGCTACCAAGGATGTAATGGAGAACTATTAGCAGCAATTAGTTCAATCTAAATAATAGAATATGATAAGTGTTTTTAAGTAATAAGAATATATTTTCTTACCATTTGCTGCCACTACGTATTTGTAACGAAGCAATGGCGTCGTCAAGTTCTTTTTCATAATCATTAAGCCATTCAGGACGTTCCTGACTCTCTAAAAAATCAAATAATATATTTTCATTATCATTTAAAATGCAAACATAAACTTACCAAGACTTTTAAATACACCAGCTGCTTTCATACGAGCATAATCTCGTTCCGGATCGTAATTTCTAGTAAAAACAGAAAAAAAAAATCAATGAATGATATCGATATATCATTGGTTGAATAGGAACGATATATATATAAATCTATTTGGATTATACAAATTTAATTTCGATATTTTTTGCACTATGATAATTCGCATAAAGAATCGAAATAGTAACTTGATTAGAGAAAATTGTTTCTAACAAGGTTTTGAAGCTTCATAAGTTTCGACAAATTCAGAAGTTCTAGAAAATTCCATTCAAGCTCTCAACGACATTTTTTTGTTGATGGGATTATGTCAGCATCAAGAAATGGTCAGACATGGTTTATTTTTACCATTTCCTAAGAAGGAAAACAGGACACTTGAGTAGAGCCCGACAAGCTCTAGTCATCTGACGAAGGAAGTCCTCCAAATATTCCTCGCTGTTGAGTCAAGACTATGTACATAATGTGGACCCAAATCAACTATGAATACCCTGAGAAGAGTTCGTGTCCTTAGCTTATTTCTACGAAGATTCTACACTTTTACATAAATGTTGTGGTAATAGAAAAACTGATTTTTGACTTAAAAATTTACATAGAGACAGATCCTAACAAGAATACTTTATTTGAAAGTTGTAGATCCTTTGATATGTATGTATCCTGAAATAAGAACATAAAATCTGCTAGCTTATATAAGTGATGTAAAATATACGCTTTTACTGTAGGTGCATCTCAAGACAAAAATTACCCTAACGAAAAAACAACAAACAATCAAAATTAAATCTATACAATTCCTATTTGTAGTTACTGTATAAATAAACAATGATCACTTTAATAAAAAATAAGCAAGAATTTAAATAATTACTTGTAAAATGTTGATATTTCACGTTTATGTCGATCAGATATTAAGAATTTATACATAAGAGCAGATACAGCACCAAGACTAAAACCAATAATACCAGCTCTGGGTACTCGCGATCGAGTTAAATTTTTCAAAGCCGGTCGTCCAACCGATTTCGAACTTGTTTTACCCGATGCAACAGCACTAGTACTGGATGACATGTTTTTTCTTTTTCTTTGTATATAAATATCTAAATAATGTTATAGTGAAGATAATAACAGAAAACAATAAAATATATACATGTAAAAAACAGTGCTTATATGCATGAATAGTGTGTTTTTTTTTTAAATAGAACATCAAACCCAATCTGACAGACTGAGATAAATTTCAATGTCACTCGGTAAAATAATTATATATATATATATATATAATTAAAACAAAAGAAATACATAAATTGTTATTTTTATGAATGAAGAATAAAAAAAAACATTAAAAAAAAAATTATCATTTTAAACGTTTAATTAATTTATTTTCGTAAGTCCATTTTAATTCACCCGATTCAGTAAAATACTAAAATAAAATATCAAATGAAATTGAATTTATTTTTTTTTTGTTTTTATTTACTTTTGTTTGCCATTTAAGTGATTTTTCATTACGTTCTTTAGCTTCTTCACGTTGTCGTTGTTCAAGAAATGTTTTTGCTGCAGTTGCTTTATCAAGTTGTTTAGATTTAAGATAATAAGTTACATCTTTCCATAAACTAAATAAATAAATCAAAAAAAAAACATTTTTATCTTTTATTTTCATTTAAATTATTATATTTCATACCGACGACTTTCATATTCACCTTGTTCAGCAATTGGTCGAACAATTTTTTTAATAACTGCTGTTTTTTTTGTATCAAAAAACACTTCCGATATTTTACTATCAATATATTTTGCATTCATTACACCATTCCATTCACCATCAATTTTACAAAATTCTTTCTTATCTGGACCAAATAAAGTACCAATTATTTGATGTTTTTTTCCATTATAAAATGGCTATTAAAGAACAAAGACAAAGAACATATCGTATAGTTTTCTCTAGATCGAAATTCAAAAAATACTTGATCTCACACAAGTCTATATTCAGATTTTAATTTCAGACATGATTTGTATTACAATACATAAAAGCTAAAGTCAGCCTGCTGTGGTATAGAAATCACAGTTACTCTATGAAAAAATCAAGAACCATTAAAACTGGAATTGTCATTTTTAGAAATACTGTAGAAAATAAATGAAACGTCGGATTCAAAAACGATAAGAACCTTCTTTGTAGTAAATATTATGGACTATCAATTGGTAAAAAGAGTATTTTTTTTCATTGCTCCATCGGGTCTTCAAAATCGATAATTTTGAAATTTCTTCTGAGATCATAAAATGATTCAGAGCAAAAAAGGATTCTCATTTGACAACATGTGTAAAAAAATACGCATACATTCCTTGGTATTAATTTTTATCGGTTCACAACTATTTTTTTTTCCATTATTTCTAAAGCACGGGATATATGTCGCTTCTGTCTACTCAATAGTATGATCAAAGAAAAAACTCAACTCTCATGATGTTGTTCAATTCTCTTTTCCCATCGCATGATCGCTGAATCTATCAAGCCGTCCTACTCTAGGAACAGGACATTCGTTAGATCAGACCATATCATTGGTATATTAGAGAGGTTAATACTTTATTTATAAATTTATTTTATCAGTGGCTAAATAATCTGAGATTTGATCTTTACATGATTTTTTTTTTGATTTAGCATCTTATTTTCTTTGAAAAAGAAACAACGTACTTTTGTTAAAAATTCAATATTAGCTAAATATCCGGTTTTTTCACATTCAATTGTTATTTTACCACCCATTTCAAACCAAGGTACTCCAAGGATAGAACTAAATAATAATAAATTTGTATGAGAAAATATAAGAAAATTTTCTTATCTACCGTCCATATGCACTTGGAAATGTCATAATATAACGTTCATCATGATCAAGTAATGTTAATGTTGCATCACCAATCATATGAACAGCAACTGAAAGACCAAGAAATTTTGATTTTGTCCATAGACATCCATCTATTTGGATATGTTTTGCTGGACATTCAGCATAAAAAGAAGCAACTATTCAATAATAATAATATTATTATTATTATTATTAATTTCAATGTATTTTAATTACTTGGAGGATGATGAGATGTTTGTTCAGCAATAAAAGTAACATTATTATCTGATGCCCATGAAACAGGACCATCTTTTGCAATTGTTGTCTATAGAAGAAAGAAAAAAAAATTCATATTTCAAATATTAACATATCACTAACATTTGAAGATGATGATGATGAACCAATATCATATAAACATTGAAATGTTTCACCAAGTATTGGATTATATGGTTTTTTAGCTACTGGACTTTTTCGACCAGCATGAAATGCAGATAAATACCATTTAACAACTTGTATAAAACGATCACGTGGTGTTTGATAATCTGTAACACTAAGTAAAAAAAGAAATTTTTCGATGAATATTTTTTTTATTTTTTCTTATCTATTTCAAAACTTACTTAACAAATTCATCGGGATGAGCAAGAAAATCAGCAAGCATTTCAAGAAAAGAACGTCGTTCAAGAATAAATGTTGGTAATGTTATTTTAGTTAAATCCATTGATATACGTGCCTTAGAAAAGAACAAAAATTTCAAGATTCGATTTTTCCAAAAACCTGGAGTCCTACAAGAGTCTCTGGAAAATAGGCATATTAAAAATTCGGTAGCTTAACAAAATCTCATTATATATTCGAATGCTTTTCGGATTTTTACTAGAGCACTATGTAGTACCTATAGACAAAAATTCGTGAGAAGGTTATCTCGTTAGTTATGTTTTATGAAATTCAGCTATTTTCTTGAAATAAACTTCTCCCGATCGAAAAGACTGTATTCTATACGTGTATCACTCTACTTAACACTGGTGATCGCGGCATTTGCATATATAATCATTAATGTTTACAAGACAAATTTTTTCAAATCTTTCAAATTGGAAATTTGAATAGAGCTTGATGAGTTACGTTAAAAAAATCTTGTCTTTGACATTAAGAATAAGAAAAGTCTATGAAAAATTGAAATACATCAAAAGCATAAAATCAAACAAAAACAAGTAGACAATGCTGCTATTGTGAGATGAATAGCATTGCGGCAGGTCTCAGTGGATTATATTCTTAAAGTATCGACAACCCTGAACTCAAGTTCGAAGCTTCTGAATACGAACTCATCGTTTTTTTATCATATTTTTCAAAAACCATACGTAATTTTTTTTTTCCTCGAATAAAATATATTGAACTTGTCAAAACCAACATATTTATACATAACTCTCTATGCGATAGATGATAATTTCTTACTTGCGAGATTAAATGTGAAATAATAGTTCCATCGATAGGTGCAACTAATAATATATAAATTTTTCAATTTCTTTGTACATTTTCTAAACAACTTACGATCTTCTTCAGGTTCTTCTTCATAAGCAGCTTCATAAATTTCAAATGGAATTTGTGATTCATTTGTAAGACTAAAACGAAAAAAAAAATACCTTTCGATTTATTATTTAATTTGTTTTTTTTTTTTACGATGTTCCATTTATTGTGGTTTTTTCATCTGTTTGTGGATTTGAAGATGATAAAAAGACCGATACACTAAACAAACAAATCAATTTTTCTCAAAAAAAGAAAGGAACATCCTTACTCGATTGGTTCATCAGCATCATAAAAATCATTATCATCATCACTACTTGAATAAGATGATATAGGAAATTTTTTTCGAACAGTTTTTGCAGCTGTATGAAAATCTAAAGCTATTATTAACAAAAAAAACAACAATAATAATTCAAATAAAAAAAAGTCAAACAAATAAACGTATCACATACGTTCAATTAGATTATTATCATTAGTTATTTTTTCATTTGTATCACTACGAATTATTGTCTGAGTAGTATTTGACGATGCTTCATCTACTCAAAAAAAAAAACGCTATAATATCATTTGAATGAATAAACATTTTCTACCTTTATTTATACTTATATCTGATAATATAGTTTGATGATCGATATTAGTTTTTATTTCATTCTGTGGATCCATTTGAATCTATGCAAAAATAATCGAAATTTTTTTTTTATGTATATCTGTATGTATGTAAAAAATCTTTCGCCGTTTGTTAGGCATAGCAAAGCATTGGTCAGGATTAAAACTTAATAGCTAAGCCTACCGATTCAAAAAATTGTTCGTTCATATAACGATATGGTGTCCGTTGTGAACAATGATGCTGTAAAAATATGTATGGCTTTTTTTTCTTCGAAATTTTCTAAAACTACTATCTATTCCTATAGCAGGTATTCCGCATTGTGAAAGTGTTTCATCTTCTGACATTATAATATCAGAAGGTGAAACATCTGCTATAAGAATATCAGAAGACTCAAGACTATCGAAATTCAATTGGTCAGCAATTGACCAATCGGATGAGTTCTTCGCGAAGATGTTCGAAATCGATTTTCTGAAGCTATTTTCGTTTCGATTTACGCTAGGTTGATATTCCTAACTTGTTCCATTCAACAGTTATAAGACTTCCGATTTCAGCCAAGTGAACTGCAATTATTCAGAAGAGAAGCTAATAGATCTGAAATTTCACAATCATCCTTCATATAACGAAGAAGTCGACATTTCGGAAATATTGAGATAATAATATCAGATCGGTTCGAATCTAAAAACATATATCACCATTCAACTCAGAATAGTAAATAGAAATTGAGGTTGAAGGAAGTCTTATAACTCACAAATGAAACAAGCTAGGAATTAGCTTTAAAACATCGTTTTCGAAAATCTCTACGAAAAACTTACCTAATTGGTCAATCGAATTTCGATAGTCCTAGATCTTCTTTCTTGAATGGTAAAAGCCGCAAGTTTCTATCAAAAGTTATTCAAGAAACAATACAGTACATTATATTTTGAAATGAATAGTAGTTTCAAAAATTATGTTTTCAAAATTCAATTGAATTTTATCCCTATACTTGACAATAGTGAGGCATTAATTCTCAAATCTTGAGAAAGAACTATCCATACAAATAATGATTTATTCAGTCTTATGAAGTTATAATTTCTACTGATGTACTAACGAGATATTTTTTTTTTGTTTCAACCGAATATGAAATTCAATATTGGAATCAGTACAAAAATCATATGTATGTTTTAAATTGTTTCTCCGACTTTTTTTTCGCGTCAAATTTTGACCTGTGATCCTCTTCAAGGATAAAAAAAACCGGTCGAGCGGTGTGAAATATTTACTTTTGCTAATTGAAGTGATAAAATAGAATATTTGACAGCTTCGATTAATCTCTAAAAACAAAACACAAGGATTTTTTAATTCAATATTAAAATTTTTTATTCTATATACTTTAGCAGATAAAATAATACGATTATAACATTCCCGTTCTTTTGTTTCTTGTACTTGATTACTAATTTGTTCTAATTCCTAAAGAATAAATCTTTTCAAAACATTTCTTTCAAAAAACAAAAATTCTTACATTCACTTGATCAATTAATATTTGTAAATAACTGTCAGCTTCTGTTATTTTACGTTGAAATATTGTTTTATGTGAATATGATAAATTATTCTGATGAAAATTACTTTTCTATAAAAATCAAAAAGAAAACAATAACATACTGTATTATTTGTATTAAGAGAAATAGCATCTTCAAGATTTGATATCCATTTTTGTCTTTCTTCAGCATCACGAGCTATAAAAAAAATGAAGTATAAAATCAGACTTCAAGATAAGATAAAGAACAAAAAAAAAAAAGAAAAAGAAGAAAAAACGTATACCTTGGAAATGAAATGTTTTACCATTTGATCGAATAGTAAACTTACAAAATATAAATAAATAAGAATAAACGACAGAATTTTTAATACTTCTTACTGTACTATCATCTTCTGAATCAATACCTAAATGTGCATCCTAAATAAAAAAAACATCACATGACTTATAAATAAAAATAAAAAAAATTTAATCTATGATTCACCTTTAATAAAACAACACCACGTCGTTCTCCTTTAACCATATTATCTTTAGACTAGAAAAAAGAAAAACAATAATTTTTATCTTATTAAAACAATTGAAATATTCATATTTAGTTTTTACTGTATAATAAATAAGCATTCCTTGTGTAGGATCAAGAACAAAATAACGATATTGCCAACCATGAATAACATTTGTCCACTTACTAAGTGGACCTTCGAATAACATCTATAATAATAAAATATTGAGTTCCTATCAATTCCAATACAATGAACAAATACATACATATTTTTTTTTTTGCGATCACAAATATAATGTATTGTTTATTTACCACTACAAATATTATTGGATACCATTTGGTAAAATACTGCTAGATGTCGCATGTGGCAGTACGATAGAAAAATTTTGTTACTAAGTAATAAAGATTTAAATTCGATTCTAATTGTAAAAAGAAAAAATTGAAATATAAAACGAAATGTTTATATCCTTAAGTTTGACTTATGAAAGAATCTTTTCGGATGCTCAATTTCAATGAGTTTTGTGATTAGAAATACTACATAGTATTCTAGTGAAAATCCTAACAAGATTGATACTTTGCAGAGTTATCGAATTTTGAACATGTCTATTTGATAGAGTACCTAAATTCTCGGAAAAATTGTATTTTTGAATTTTATTTTCATTTGCATGTTTCACGTGGACTTTGTATCTTGAAGCTATGAGCTTTTCTTCAAAAATTGATGTTTTTTGAAATTTAGTGAATAATATAAAAATATTTTTAAAAGTTCTTATCTCGAAAAATACACGGTTATAATGAGAATTATTTTTTATTTAATAATAAAAATTTTTTCTAATTTATATTGTAATAAATAAATTGCATAAAGTTTCTCGAAGAGATCCATTTTGTGGTACACAATAATTTGATTCAAGTCGACGTTTAGGATCAGCTTCAATTAATTGTTTATTACTTTGAAATAAATCCATAAGTGAAAATGCACCAAGATTTTTACTTCTTCCATGTCGTACTAATACTAAATCAAAATCATTCGATGATGATGTTAATTCTTTTAAATAACCATGTACAAGAAGCCAATGAGCTCGATGACCTTTTTTAAGACATGGTTCATGATTTGCATCAGTATCATATCTAATAACAAAAAGATAATTTCTAAAAATAGTGAAAAAAGAATATAAATTTTATATTTACGGGACAAGACAAATATAATTTGATTTTAAACATTCAATAAGATCAGTTATATTTGTCCATTGATGAAGTGTAGCTTTTAAATTAAATTGTTGACATAGATTTGGTATTACACGAGCTAGAAACTAAAGTTTAAGTTTTATTCAATAAAAATTCAAATATTATTTTTTTTTCTTACCATCGAATAATTCACCTTGAATTGTATATAAAAGTTCTTTAGCTTTTTCGAGTATATTTTCTACTGTTGTATTACATGAATGAATATTCATCGCCATTGCAAGAGCAACAATTCCACATCTTATAGAATGTAAAACAAATATTTAAATTAATCACAATCTTTTTTAACTTACTGTGGACCATCTTGTAAAACTGATTCAATTGGTTTATAGACAATCAATTCATATTTTTTTGTTTCATCACGAGAAAATTTTGATCTAATATTAATATTTAGAACTTACCCCAAAATAAACAAACAAAGTTTTTATTAGACAAACCTATTATATGCTTGAATGACTTCTACTTGCCATGTTTCCATTCTTTAAAGACAAAAGAGAATAGTTAATGTAATAAATAAGATTCAATAATCAAGCAAAATCTTCGAAAAGACTTTCATCATTAGATTTTAGAACCCGATCGAACCATACTTTGATACTCTCAATGAAATTTTCTAACCGAAATTGAATAATCACTTCAAAGCATAGATGTTCATCGCAACTGAGAATCTGTCGCGGTGATTTTTAAAAAAGAATACCACTGCCATGGACATCTCTGCCTCGAAGATATGAGATACTTTTTTCCGGTGTTTTGTATTCGATGACTAGTGGAATCTACACATTTCTCAGATGACTAGAGCCCGTCAGATCCAAAATCTTTTATAGATGTCCTATTCACCTTCAAGATAATAACTATTGACCAATACTTCTCATTGACGAAATAAATATTTACCTTAACTATTATATTGAGCACAATTGATCTATACCTTTGAAATTGAGCATTCAAATCTGAACTTATGGTTTTTTCTTTTTATTGAAAAGTAAATGAAATTATTGAAATAATTTTCAAAAAAAAAAAAACTATTCGATAATCAATCTAAAACTTAAAGAAAAACATAAAAGATATATCAATCTCAATGTTATTGACAATATATAAAATACGTTGATATTAAACGAATAAATTCAATTAGCAAACACTTAAAACAATTCATCGTTTTCTTGTCTATTATAATATGATATTTACATATAATAGACTAATTTATAATAATTTATTTAAAAATAAAAATATTGCACAATATGATTTTCATTTATTTTTCAAGTTTATTAATAAGAACAAAGAAAAAAACATCAACAATCTCGAATAAATAAATAACCAACAATAATTAGTGGAGTCTACTGACCAATTAATGAAAGTTAACAAAAAAAATCATAGATGTTATGAGATGATTTTTATCAATAAGTATAACAAAAAATATAGATGTATTATTTATTTCACATTTTTTAATTGATTTGCTAACCAATCAAGTCCTTCACAGAGACCATCACCATTTGTAGCACATGTTGCTTGAATATACCAATTACGATTACGTAATGAATGAAGACATAATTTATCAGTTATTTCAGCAGCATTCATTGCGTTTGGTAAATCCTATCGAAGTGTAACATTCAAAATTTAAAAAAAGAACCCGAAATTGCTTTTTCTTTTTACTTGTTTATTTGCAAAAATAAGTAGTATAGCATCTTGAAGTTCATTTTCTGAAAGCATTCGTTGAAGTTCATCACGTGCTTCACCAATACGTTCACGATCATTACTATCAACAACAAAAATAAGACCTTGAGTATTTTGAAAATAATGTCGCCATAATGGACGAATTTTATCCTAAATAGCAAAAAGAAAAAATTCTATAAAAAAAAATTTTTTTTTTTTCTTAATTATTCTTACTTGACCACCAACATCCCAAACAGTAAAACTAATATTTTTATATTCTACTGTTTCAACATTAAAACCTAATAAAAAGAGATACAATTTTCATTATTAAAAACATAAATTACTTACCAATAGTTGGAATTGTTGTTACAATTTCTCCTAATTTAAGTTTATAAAGAATTGTTGTCTTACCTTAAGAGATTTAAGAAACAAAAACAAAATAAATTGAAAAAATGAATTAATTTTTCTTTACATAAAACAAACCAGCAGCATCAAGACCAACCATTAAAATTCTCATTTGTTTTTTACCAAATAATTGTTGAAAAAGTGTTGAAAAAGTTAAACCCATTTTCTTTTTTTTAATTTAATGATTAATCTAAAATGCATATGAAGAAGAACAAAATCCCTAATGACTAGCTTAAATAATAATAATAATAATAATAATAAACATTAAGAAGATAACGATTGCTTATAATATAAATTTTATCTTATATCAAACTGTACGCTTTTGCGAACAATAACCCATAAAATCTTGTATAAATTTTTCAAAATCGTCTCGTTGTTCATAATTACCAACAAAAAATGAACGATTATTTGCTGAACCACGTATTAAAGCTGATAGACCTTTAAAAATAAAAAAAGATTTTCTTTAAAAATAAATATCAAAAAATTTATCATACGTTGTCCACTTGAAGGACGAAATAGACAAAGTACAGGCTTATTTAATGTAATAGCTCGTGCTATTTCAAAGCCAACACCTAATGATGGTTGTGTTACTTCAGCAACAACTACTTGAGCTTTGGATAACCATTGCATATCACGTTCAAGAATTTCAGCATCATTTAAATTTTTTTCTACTGTAATAACAAAAAAAAAATATTAATAGAAAATTTGATGTCTTTTTTCAATGTACCAAGTTCTAATTCAGGAAAAGCAACATGTTCAGTTAAAACTGTACCATATGATTTAAGACAAGTAACAATTTGTTGATAAATAGCCACATCTTGTCTACCACCTCGAATACTACCACAAAAATAGATGTTCATCTGAAGAGTAATGAAATAATTGCTTTTCTTTTTATTGTTTTTTACAAGCAATAAGACGTGGCAGAGAGAACGAAAAGAAAAGAAACAAAACGAAATAATGAGTCATCCGATGATATGTAATTTTTTTTTTCCAATGGAATTTTTATTACTTATTAAAATCTATTTTTCAAAAAATAAGTTAACGATAAGATAAATAGGTATAATGAACTTATTACATAGATAGAAAAGGGTTGGATATCATTGTAGACAAATAATAACAATCGTTGTTTATAACAACAGTTATTATTGATAATGATAAATATGATATAGAGGTCTATGTATAACAGTATTATAAATTGATGGAAAATTTTCTATTTAGTTTTTACACATATGAAAACAAACCCTATTTTCAAAAGTTAATTATATTCGCAAAAGAAATATAAATTAGAATATTTTCTCCCTTGAAATTAAGATGTTAATGTTATTCATCACGTCAATTTACATATAATTCTCTATCTGTCTCATGAGATATAAAACTAATAAAAGTGTTTTTGATTTGAAATGGGAATAAGATATTTCTAACCAATATTATCATTAACAATGCCAAAACCAAACGAATTGAAGGGGGGGAGGGAAGAAGCGGGTTGCATTTTTTTTTTTTTTTTTTGTATATATCCTGAGATTAATCTCTCAGTAAACATCAATATTATATATGCATACTCGAATGAATAGTAAGTGACTATTAACCTATAGTAAGTTTTTTTTTCAAGACGAAATCGTCGATTCAGGATTGCTTCCAATTATTGAAGGTTTGCAAATAGAATACGAGGAAGCACAAATAAAAAAGAAAAGACGTTATACAAAAATCTTCTATACACATACGGTAGGAATAGAATTACATTTGATTTATGAACGAGAAATATTGATTGTCATCATACTATAATTCATATACAATGACAATTTTTTTCTATCAACAATTTTTGTTCTGTCTAATTTATCATAGGATCTATTGTTAGTTGTTTTCTATGAATAATATCATTTCTCTCATTACTAACTATTATTAATAGCATATAATATAAAAGAGACAATATTTTTCCATACAAAGAATAATCGATAAATAATTAGACAATAAAAATATTCAACATTTTTTAGTTTGCTCTAATCTTTTTTTTTTCTCCCTCGATAAATAAATACTCTTCAAAGTGTTTATTCATAAGAGAAGTTGTCAAAATAGATACTATATAGAATTAGCACTATTAACTTCAATGAAGAAAATCTGGAATTTTTTAATATAGGTACTGTCAGTTAGATCAGACCGATTTCATTCTTTTCATCTAAAAAGAAGTTATGATCTATAGCAATACTTATGATTCGGTGAATTTATCATTATGTAGTCATTGACAGAGGATATTTTACATAATGTGATAGATAGACTAGATCGTTCGTTAGAATGGTCAAATTAAAATAAATGCATAGGAATATAAACCGTGATCTGATCTTTTATAAACGACAAAAATTTTTACTCGACACTTCGTTTATAGTTTCTTGATCGTGTAATTCAAAATTATCTGTCGATACTCATTGTATATATTTAATTTTTTTTTTGTTTGAAAGAGCACATCAAGACACAGTGCAATACAGAGTCCTTTTTTTTTTTATTAAGCTTTGCTTTTACTATATATATACAAACATTTATATAATTAGAATACCATTTAAGGGCTCTATACTGCACTACATCCTGACATACTCTTTCAAAAACAAATTAAATATACAGAATGTACCTGAACAGAGAAATTTAGTTTGCCAAATGAGCTATTTTTTTAGTCTCAACATATCTTGAAAATTTCATGTCATTTGAATGTTCCTGTACTGAGATTGATTTTTGACAGCGGAGAAACCTTAAGAACGGCTAAACACACTAAAATATAATGTGTTGTACTTTACGACATATTTTGTCCAGCAATAGTCCAACGCATTCTAAAAACATGATTCGAATCTCTTATACAGCGCATTTTTTTTTTCTGTGAAAATAAATGACGGAATTTTTTTTCAATTTAATCATTCCTATTCAGAAAATTCAAGCCGGTTAGAATTTCAAGTCTGTTCGATTCAGGATAGTCCTCTCTCGACTAATAACTAATCAAGAGATAATCTAGAAACACAAAAAAAGACACACAACTATCACATCTTTAATCCAGTTGTCTATGTGCATACACAACACAACGGTGAATGAACAGTCAACAGACAAAACACGACAAATTCATAATACAACACATTTTATTTTAGTCTGACATCATAGTAAGACACCTCATCAGTCAGTAGTATATTTCTATATTGAGATCAATAGTGCTAGTTGCAAATAGATGCCATTGGCGGTTCCCTTGTGGATAATGACTTCTGTCACCGAGTTCGATTACTGATATTAGCTTATAGATATTGATTTCTTTTTATCATCAAACTATCCGGAAGACATTTACCAGAGCTCAGTTGCTTACTGCTTATGAATAAAAAAGGTTTGTATATAAGTAAAATGAAACATATAACATATTGATATCTCAACTATTTGATTTGAATATATTTGAAGATAAACATTCCACATCAATCAAGATGAATGTTTTATAATTAATTACACTTTGATGTGTCTAATTTGTTTATTACAGAAACAATCGTAATAAGGAAATTATATATACAGAATATGCTATAAATGGGTTGTACGATTTACTTTCCGCAGAATTACTTCCCGTTGTTTGTTTTCAGTGTTAATTGGATTTTTTTTTTCACCAAAAAGTTATGATGTCTGACGTTGAGAATTTACTTTCCGTTGATTAGTTGGATGAAATGAAATCATTTCATTTCATCCAATTAATCAACGGAAAGTAAATTCTCAACGTCAGACATCATAACTTTTTTGCGAAAAAAAGTCCAATTATCACTGAAAATAATCAACGGAAAGTAAATCGTGTAACCCGCCATAAATAACACTACCATAAAAAAAAAAGAAATATCTTTGGATTAGTTCAATCAAGTGAGTTGATTTCTTTTTTTGATCAGTACAAATTAATATCATCTATTATGAAGTAAGAAAAATAAATGTCTACTATTTGATAGATGATTTTCAGTTATCATCTTAGAAAATAATAAAAAGTGGTCAAAATAATTTAATGAAAATAATTACAAAATTTCGAATTCTAAAACATGAAACACTGATTTTTGATGCCTAAAGAATTGTACTTGTACATTTTATATAGTACGAATTTTAACATTTATATTAACTAGTTATGAAAAGTTAGTCTATATGCATCAATATTATGAAGTTCGTTCTGATTTCCTTCGATAAAAGCTAAAAATTATCTATGGAACGCTTCATCTATATTTGTTTTTTTTTATTTGTCAATAGATAAAATTATTCTAGTGAGACTAGAGAAAAAAAATCTGTAACTTGACATTAGTATTTGTTGACGTTATCCATATAAAAAAAAAAACAAATTTTAGTTAAGCTTTTACTACTAACCAAAAAAAGTCAACCGATTCAAACAAACCAAAGTGTAAATTATATTTCATTTGTTTTGATAGTAATGTTATATATTGCCTACTCTATCTGCTATTTATATTACTATTTTTCTACGAGTGAGTAGTTCTACATTAATATTTCTTTTTTTTTTTTTTATAAGAATAAAAAACATTGAATTAATCGATTAGTTCTCTTTAGAAGATAGTCATTTGCATCGTATTAAGGAAATGAATGTTTCAATAAATATTCGATTAAAGTTATAGTTTTCAATTATTAAAATATGTCTGTAAAAACTTACAACGACATGTCTATTTTTTTTGTTATACGATTCTTCCCGCCCTTTGAATGTCAACGAGCCAGGTAATCTATGATGCAGAATATTTTACAAATAATAATGAGATTTAAGTATTTCCATGTGTTAGCTCAGTTTTAATCACTTTTACATCTCGAAATGATCTATATAAGATTATACAAATAATAATCTAGATAATTTCTATTGATTTTTGTTTTTGTCTTTATGTTTAATTGACTATATACAAAATAAAAATGTGTATATGTTTATAAATTTCGTAATTAAATATAATGTTTTATTTATAGAATTCGTACTTCACCAATATATCAATGTTGATTTAAGCAGATGACAATATCATATATCGACTGATTTTTGTGATATTTACGAGTGATATATCAATCGATCATCTCTGTTGTAGTTATAGTAGTATAACATGTAATAAAAAACACATGAAAAAGTCATAAGATATCAATAGGAGATGATGATAATGTTGTGACAATCTTTTCCTAGAATATAAAAGCACATATTTAAACAACAGAAATATAGTTATTACTTTTCCATTGTGTATTGTTATTTACGTGACAAGAAAATTTAAGCATTATCTAAATGCATCAAATCTTTACATTCGATTAACTATTATTATCTATGATATAATACATATCTGTGACTTAGTTATTGTTTTTGCTTTCTTTAAGAATCGATTTTGTTTTTTTTCTTCTTCTATGTTACAACATGTCTTTTTCTTTTCCTTCTGTGATATTCATTAATCAATACTTTTCTTTTTGTAGACAGTATAAATATTTCTTGTCCAGTCTTCTTATTTACCAATTGAATATGTTCATATAGTTAATTTTTTCAAATTGTTGAAATTTTAAAATTTCATCTATTTATTTTAAATTAATAATATTCATGAAGATATTGTTAATCTACCATCTGATGTGCACTATCGATATCCTTCGATCTAAGATAACATAGTATACATATTTTTGTCTTATAGATTATGATATATTTATACAACCGTTTTATAAGATCATTTAATGTTGTTAATGGATTATTGTATTTTTTAATATAACTAATAAAATATTAGAACTTAATACTATTTTATATTTGGAAATTTCAGATGAAATCTAATCGTACGAATTATGGAAGTTTAATCATCAATTATAGGAAACAATTTCAATTAAATCAATATTTAGTATTGTCTATCAAATATCTGTATATATATATATATATATGTCTTTTTAGATTGAAATTGATCATAGTAGAAGAAAATAATAGCTAGGTATTAAGCATAAATCAGACATTTTCTTTTCTCTCGTTTGATTCCTATCTTGCGCTGTCTACAATATGACACATATCAAGGAGAAATGGATGAAAAACAATTAGGCAAAGTTATTCGTTTCTGTTGAAAGATAGATTTTTCTATGATAGAAGTAATAAAACTACAAGAATGAGAAGGAAAGAGAACAAATGACAACTGCACTTTTGTAGATATCGATTCATAGTAGAAATTTCAATGAACTTGATGACAATGAATAATTGTGTCTAGTTGGTAATTACAATAATAATGATATCCTTTTAAGGTCAAATAATTTGTCGGAATTCAGTAAAATCCGGCCACATGTTTATCCATACAATTTTATATATATATATAAATATGTAATGGAGAAGAAATGTTGTTTTTAGAAATACTCATTATATAGTAGAAGAGAAAATATTCCATTCGAATATTTTCTCTGTTATTTTTTCCGTTCATGTTAGGGAATATACATTTGAGAAAATATATAGATGAATAAATGAGAGAGAGAAAAAAAACAAACGAGTAAATTACATTTTTTCGGATAATATAAAAGAAAATAAAACTAAAGTTTTTCGTTGTTCACAATGGCCAATATTCTCGTGAGCATGTTACTTAATAAGATTTTCCTAATACCTAAATGAAATAAGCATGATTAAATTATCATTAAATATGAGGAAAGAGAAACAAAGTATTTATTATATATATATATTTATTTCAGTAGTAACAATATGTTAAACGATAATTGTTCGGAAAAACAAGTATTTAGAAAATATTTGAGATTCCAGTAATTTCATTATTAAATCAATAGGAAAAAAAATAAACGGAAATAGAACATTATTTGTATTTGATAATCAAATTCATATAGTTCAAATGAGATAATATGTTTGTATATGAAAAAGTGATTTCTTTGTTTTTTTTTAAATCATTAGAGAAAGCAAATAGAAGCGAACTAAAAAAAAAAAAAAGAAAGAGGAAAAAAAACAAATTACATCTCATCAAATAGGCTTTCATATCTTATTACGTGGCCCTGCACAGACAAGCGTAGATAACTCTGAGAGAGAAAAAAGCTATGAGTCTATTATAACAGAAATATATACGCTGTTCGTGTATATCGTTATCTGCTCTATTTTTAAAACGAACATATTTCTGATTAAATCTTCATAGCTAAGTATTTGTAAGTTTTTCTTTTAGCTATCGTGTCATAAAAGATAATGATGTTTGTCTATTGGAATTCATATAGAAACATGCGTACATATTTTGATTTACCTAATTTTCTTTTTTTGTTGTGTTTCAATAAGGATTTCTTTTCAAGGTAAGTGACAATCATTAATTTTGAATAGTATTCTATTTCCCTTGATAGTTGTATGTTAAAAAATTCTTGAATATTTCATATTTTAGAAGTAGAAAAAGAAAAAAAAAAAAAAAAAAAAAAACTTGTCAATCTTATTAATATTTTATATTTTAATTTAAATAAATGATACATATGGAAGAATCAAATCAACAACAAAAGCAACAACGTCAACAATATTCTATGCGTCCGATAATAAATTTTTTACAAGGTGTTGCATTCACTATATTTGTATTTACTATTCTACTTGTTATTTATTTAATAATTACTTATTTTACTCGTCTTGAACCACATAATAATTATGGTATTGTATTTGATGCTGGTAGTTCACATACAGAAATGTTTGTTTATTATTGGCCAGCCGATAAATCTGATGGTTTAGGTACAACATCAACAGTTAATGAATATTTTGTTTGCCCATTAATGGCAGTAAATGTAACTGATCCAATAAAACAAGGCGAATTTATTAAACTTAAAGCTATATCTGATTTTGAACAACATCTTGATTCATTAGCTGATTATTTTCAACCTTGTTTAACAAAAGCTATTTTAAAAATTCCATCAAATCGTCATAAAGTTTCACCAATTTTTCTTGGTGCAACAGCTGGTATGCGTTTAACATTATTACGTAATGCAACAAGAGCAAAACAAGTATTAGAAACAATACGTGAAATTTTTTCAAATACACCATTTCAATTTGTCGTTGCTCGTCAAGTAAATAAATACATAAATCATATTTTCTTTTTTTTTTTTTTTGTTTTTGAGAGGATATCTATTCATTAACATGTGGTAGTTATCATAACGATAGGTATAATTAACATGATAGAAACCTTATTGTATATAGAGTTCATATGTAGGGTTGTTTCTTATCAATAAGAAACAATTGAAGATGAATATTTATCATAACTGTTTACAAATGTCTAATTGATATGAGCTATTATCATATATTATTTATAGATTTTCATACAATTTATATTTTATATGCTGTGATTTTATTGTAAATATTGTTACATTATGTACTACGTGTTTCGTTATCAAAGAATGTTCTTCTTTTTTCCTTTTTTTTTTTTTTTTAATCAATGTAAATATTAGCGTCCAAATAGAGATTAGATCTAATATCGAATTGACGGTAAATTAATGTTAAAATTTGAATTAGTCTCTATATTTGTATTCTAATTGATGAAATGACCAGAGGAAGTACTGACATATTAAATAATACAATCGTAATTTTATCAATTATGTTTGAGTCTGAAGTTATGAACAGTTTTATACATGAGAACTACTTCAATACAAAATTGTTCATAATCACTCGAATCTTTAGTTGAATTCGTTTATTTTGATTATTGTATTAATTCTCTCTCAGTTCATCAATAAAAATTCGAATATACAGACTAATTCAAATTTTAATATCAATTTTAATACTAACATAAGAAAAAAAAAGACTATTATGAATCAATTTGTTTTAATTTATTAATTATAGGTACGAATATTAACTGGTATGGAAGAAGCTGTTGATGGTTGGATAACAACAAATCTTTTGTTAGAAAAATTTAAACATCGACATGCACGAAGGAGTCAATTAGAAGGTCCAAAATCAGAAGATGAATTCGATCCTTATATGGTTGGTGTACTTGACTTAGGTGGTGCTTCAACACAAGTTACATTTACATGTAAGATTTACATTTTGTTTTTATTTCTAAACAAAAAAAAATATATATATAAATTTTTTATTTAGATAAAGATAATGTTAATAATGAATCAATTCCTGATGAATTTACAACGAGTATTTCGTTATTTGATACTGTTTATAATCCATATGCGCATAGTTATTTATGCTGGGGTAAACATGAAGCATTAAAACGTTATCGAGCTCGTCTTCTTAATGCTGCACTTAGTACAAAACGATTATATTTATCAAATACAAAACAGATTCTTGTACGTGATCCATGTTTAACTGTTGGTGCAAATGATACATTAACAATGAATAGTCTATTTCGTTCATCATGTACAGCTAATGAAAAACAAGTATATCATACACGTACAAATATAACAACATTTAAATTTATTGGAACGGGAAATGCTAGTCAATGTCGACAAAATATTATTAATTTATTTGATGCTAAACGTAATGATAAAACAGTTAATTGTTCATATAAACAAGAATATTGTACATTTGATCATACATTTCAACCAGATTTACCTGACAATATATATTTTATTGGTTTATCTGGATATTACTATGTATTTAATAATCTTGCATTTGGTAGTTATTTTGTTTTTTTGAAAGGAAAAATTAAAATAATAATAACAATTTTACTCATTTAGGTATGCCAAAACGCGAAGGATTAACAACTGAACGATACAGGCTTAGAGATTTTCCACCAGAAGTACTTACTCCACGTCTTTTCAATGTTGTAAGTGTAGAATTAATTATTTAGATACAATCTAAATCTGAAAAGAAAAATATATTTATTAAGGATTCATAATACTACAAATTAGTTTTTAGGTAAATATATTACCTGAAAGAATTTTTGTTAAATATAAACCATAAGTTATTAATCTCAAAAGAATATATATACTTGTTCAAACAATGTTCACCTCTGAATTATATGAATAAAGAAAACTTTTGCTTTTGTGGTCAAGTCTGTTTTGTGATTACTATGTTACATCTCTCTCTGAATGTTTGAAAGATGATATGAATAAATTCGTGAAAGTCGAGACGATGTTGAAGATAAAACATAATCAAACGGATCTATTGCCTTATTAATGATAATTTCTATATTATAATTGATGAAATGCAAGCACAAACTGATGTTAGTCATGATTGCATCCAAAGAATAATTTCCAATCATCGTAAACTTAAAAAGATTACATCTCATTGTGTATCGAAGCAACTAATCGGAAAGATATAGTCTAAATTAGAGATCTGATAAATCGTTCTTTGTCTTCAAAATTTTCTTATCTTTCACAAAAACATGCATATCATTTTTTAACTGTTCTGAGAGATGGAATGTGACTGTCGAAAATAACATAGGGCTCATCATGAATAACTTTCATTTTATCAAAAGATTTTATAGATACGGATATTTAGAAGTTTTTCAAAGTGTGATACAGTTCAAAACAAGGTACAATACATAACCCAACATTACATTGAGTACACTCATATCTTGTATCAGTTCGTTTGTTTTTTTTGGACTTGTTGTTGTATTACTGCAGACATGACATTTTCGCCTCTTTGTTTCTGTAGATGTACCTTCAACTGAATAAGTGTCGAACAGTAAGCATCAATAGATTTTCTAAAGACAATCTTTCGTTTCTTTTTCTCATTCTCTTAACTTCCAATAAATTCAACAATGAATCGAATCACTTCTAATTGAAAGTCTGATAGATACATTCTTTCTTCCAATCTTAAATTTGTATAAAATGAAGACATTGAGTAAAGTAACATCAAACAGATGAAAAAACAATTTACAAGGGTAACATCCACACTCATTGCTGATTATCATAGTAAAAAAATTTCTAACTCAAATTACATCAAAAAAACATGTCTGAGAAATGCTTTCATGAAAATTGATATTACTTATAATTCTTTACGTTATTGGCAACCAAACGATTAATACATACAGTGTCATATAAACTTCAATATAGAAGCAAAAGCTTTTCTTGTCTATCTAAATCAGAAGTGACTAACTTTTATTAAAGTTCTAAATATTATCTTACTAACTGAGGAATGCTAAAACAATATAGAATTACAAAGCACTATTTGTACTTATCAATATATATATAAAGAGATAAATTTTCTTCGACTCTGCTGTATGATATTATACTCATTACTTCTAGTATGTCCTAAGTATATTATTTCAGGACTTTTTTCTTTAAAAAAAACAAAAAGAGTTCTGGACAAAATTCGAATAAAATATAATTTTCTTTAATCTAGTGTGAAACACATTATCAAACACTTCGTCTCCAAGAAAATATTACATCAGAAAATGAACAACACAAACGAGGTTTATGTTTTGATGCATGGTATATGTGGCTTTTATTAACACATGCTATTGGTTTTAAAGAAAATGATTTAAAACGTTTAAATTTTGCTAATACATTTCCAACAGGCAAAGTTGGTTGGACACTTGGTTATATGATAAATCAAACAAATTACATTCCAGCTGAATATCGAGAAAAAAAATTAAGTAAAACTGATTTTATAGGTTGGTTATCGGCTTCATTAATAATTACTTTAATTACATTGATATTTCTTCTTCTTACATGTTATATATGTTGTCAAAAAAAATTCAATATAATAACGAGAAGTAAAGATGGTTATAACAAACCAAATGAACATGCAAATATTTAAAATACCGGTATCTATATTTGAAATTGAATTGATCTTGTATCAAAAACAAAAAAAAATCATCGAGGCAACAATTATAAACACAAAAAAATAAAAATAGAGAATGATGTTTATATTGTATTTACAGATAGATATTTATACATATTTTTTTCTTCTTCTTCTTCTTCTTTTAATCATATTATATATTGTCAAGTGTGGTTTTTTTCCGTTTTGTCACATCGCTTCAATTGATATTTAGAAAAGAAAACAAACAGTGTTGTATTTTTATTTCAGTTCTTTTTGTTTCTAATGTAATCCTTAGCAGTAGTAATAAATATTGTTTATTCTTTTTGTCATAATTTAAGTAAATGTTGTATCATAGTCAAATAACAACTCGATGATATAGATGAACGATTGTTTGTTTTTTTTAATCACAATGAATTCATCTCGGTTTTTGTTTTTGCTAATTCATATGGTGAAAATTGATAATTTTATCGTGATCTATGAGTCTGATTAAAATGATGAAATGATATTATTCATAATTTATATTCTTTGATAGTCGTATTGATTATTAGCAATTTGATATATAATAAAATCTCATGTACATGACTATTGCTTAGCAATTTCATTACTGTATTAAGAAAAGTCTGTTGAAAGATATACTAATCAGGATTGATCATAATCGATATTGTGTATCGTTCTTTTTCCGCCAGTAGAGAATGACAAAACGGCAATTTTACCGCAGAAAATAGGCCATATCTTCGCTGTAACATCAGTACAATACAACCATATTTCCTCCTCCAGTATTATGATGGTATACGACTCGTTTACATATTGCTTTTTCATCGTAAGCGGTCGTCTACAGACCGTATTTTTTTATCTGGGAAGTAATAATTTTGATAGAATCTTAAATATGAGTACTACTTATTGTATTATTCATTTTTCTTTGCCGATCAAGACCTTAATATTGCATCTGTTCTAAATTACTTTAATTTTTATTGATTCACAGAGATAAAAAACAGTACTTTCTATTCTCTACCCTGGAACAAAAATAAAAGTATGTCTTATGTATAGCATCATACTGTACAGTTTTGCATAGCTTCTGCAATAAAATGAGATGATTCGTGTGTATAATAAATAAAGGCTTGTCTTTCTTTGTTTAATACTGGTTGAAATGAATTCACTAATACATATTTAGTACGACTCTTCAAGATAAAACGAACTATTTAATTTCAAAAATAATTTTGAAGTCATTCTTTTTTGGAAATGATTACTGTAAATATCTAGAAATAAAAAAATATCAAATAAAATACCTTACTTTTAATGTTCCACTATTGTTATTGTCATGACAATAACAATGTATACATATATTTAAATATTTTCTTGTTTAAAAGATAAAAAAACAAAAATAAGAATGATTCGAATTTTATTACAAATGATGAGATATTAAAATTGAAATTGTGTATACAAGTACTTGGTATGAAACAGTTCTATTCAAATATGATACAAATTAAATAATATTAGACTCGCTTTCGTACAAGGACATGATGTATTGCACTCAAATAATGGTGAAATAAAAATAAACCAAAGTACTGTATGAACTTATTGACAGTGCATATTCAAAGGTGTATTCCCTATGGAGTGAAAATACTTGCATGAAAGAACTAGTTAAGGATTAATATAAACTCTTTCTTTGGGTGTCGTTGACATTTTCAACATCCAATTAGTAAACAATTAGATTAAGATAACGTATCTTGAATAAGGAGTTGACAGACAATGCCTTGTTTTTCATAGCTTTGACAGACATGTTGTGTTGTAAAATGAATACTAATCAGTATGAAATTCATATCCTTATTGATGTTTTTTATTTCTACTAAATTATCAAGAGTTGAAAATTGTTTCTATAAAATATAACGAAAATGATTAATTCATTTCTCGAATTTTATTCGAGTCAAAAAAAAATAAAATAAAATTTAATATTAACGTATAATTCAAAATTAGGAAATAATGGGAACACATTAGAAGTCGCATCGATTGGCCGTAAAAATATCAAAAAACGCTTTAAAAAATTCTAACTAGTAAGATACATACTTTATTGTATAGGATACTACTAACATTCAAATAGAGATCAAACATAAGTCCAGACATTTTTTCAGCATGTTTATGAGGTGTCATTTGTTTTCATTTAGCAACTGTAAATGATAAGCTATCTAAGTATTCCATAGCCTTTATAACACTGCCATAATATCATTTGCCAAGATTGATGAGTATGGGTAGGTGATGAGAAGATTCACATCCCCACACTTACTACTAATTTTCAATCGAGATCAGTAGAATTATAAGAAAAACAACAATAAACGATAGGTGCTTAGAGCCACCATCTACTCAAGACATCAGTTTTTTTAGTATTCTCTAGTTTTGATATTTTTCCAGCACACCGTCAAATCGGTTCATTAGTATTTTTCTTGTATAATTCTATTGAATTATATATTAACAGAAAGAGCATGTTAATACTAACATTCGAGTACTATTTTCATGTCGTGTTGATTAAATTTTGAAACTTGAAAGCTATCAACAAGGTGACGTACTGTTGGTCTTTGTTCGAATAATCCATCTTCGTCATAGTAAATTCAATTTGAGGATAGACAGACAAGACAGAACATAACTAAACTTATGAATATTATAGCTTGTTTTGTGGAAATCCAATTTCATATATAAAACCACTAATTGATTGTTTAATTAAACAAGATATAAATTTGGTGTACTGGTAGACAGTACTAATATCGGCGGTAGAATATAAGGCACCTGATTGTTTTTTCAATAACTTTTGATAGAAACAAGATAGAGACCTGTGGTTTTCAGTATTTGATAGCCAAGAGCATATTTTATAAGCAAAAAATTTTCTGAGAAAAAGTTTGAAGTTTGGTTTTTCAGAGGATCTTTGAAAAACCACGCTGGTATTTTGAAAATTGTCATAGAAGCCTATTGATTTTTTTACATATTCGGAATCAGCATCAAAAACTACGTCGACTCATATATTTTTTTTTCGTCGAAAAATTCGTCCTTTATCATTTTTTGACTGAATTCATTTGTTGACATGGTCCTGAGGATGACTAGAGGTAAATTTTAGACGAAAACAAATTTCGTTAAAAACCTAGAAAAATATATGAGTCAACGCAGTTTTTGATGCTGATTCCGAATATGTAAAAAAATCAATAGACTTCTATAACAATTTTCAAAACCCCAGCGTGGTTTTTTAAAGATCCTCTGAAAAACCAAACTCCAGACTTTTTCTCAGAAAAAATTTTTGCTTATAAAAATATGCCCTTGGGTCTTGGCTATCAAATGCTGAAACTACAGTTCTCTATCTTGTTCCTATCAAAAGTTCTTCAAAAAACAATCAGGTGCCTTATATTCTGCCGCCGATAGTAGTATATTTTACTGTACTGATCATTCATTCTTATCTTTCAACAAATATTTTGATTTTAAAAATCGGAGTAACCGAAATTGTCGTATTGTTCATTTAATAACCCTTCGAAAAAGCTACAAAATCATATGCTTTCCAAAGTCAAAAAAAAGAAAATTAGCCACTTGAAAAATTCCTTAGCACACTCTTCTCCAGGCTCAAAGGACAAGTGGCGGTAAGGCCATTTTTCCGCCCCCAACATTTTTTGAAAAAAATTACATGGTTAGAATCAGCATCAAATTCTGAACAAAACTATGTATTTTTTTTTAAAAAAAAGAAAAAAAAGTTTTTTTGAAAAAATTCTTGCCCTGGACCCCCAGGGGACAAAAAAAAACAACATTTTTTTTTCTCCCTCCAATTTGATCTAGATATAGGTTATCGACCATGCTGATAACGAATATAAAGTTTGTTTTGCATAAAAAGATGATTTAAACGAAAAAACAGCTTATTCTGAAGAGGGATGTTTTTTTGACCCCAGTCCGAAAATCACTATCTTTTAACACTAAACGATAGTTTGGAATAGTAGTAATACGTTATATATGTGTGGAAATGATTGTTCTATGAATTCCTGACAGATTAATGACTTAACAAATATATATTCCCAGTTTATTTGGCTAAAAACTGGCAAAAACAGGAACAAAGACCTATATACTATGAAGTGTAGGGCAATTTTTTTCCTAACGAGTTTTTAATCCAATGAGTTATATATATAGATCGATGCAGTTTTTCATGCTCTATCCGAATATGACTTCCAAAAGAAGAAAAAAAATGAAAAAAGTACTCAAAAAGTGAAAATACTAGAAAAAGAGCAGAAAAGCAATAGAAATGACCAGGTATTTCCAGACTATCACCAACAAAAAATAGTTTTGAGACAAAATGAATATGATATTCGGAATCAGAATGGAAAACTACATCCTGTAGCATGAATTCTATTTAAAAAAATTTTCCATTAAAATTCGATCCCTGGTCCCCCTCACTGATTTTCTCATTTAATTTTGTTTGTGGTTCCCCTCAGTCGAATTTTTGTGAAAAAACTTTTTTGAGTAGTATTCATACTAAAGGATGTAGTTTTGCATTCTGATTCCGAATATCATATTCATTTTGTCTCAAAACTATTTTTTGTTGGTGATAGTCTGGAAATACCTGGCCATTTCTATTGCTTTTCTGCTCTTTTTCTAGTGTTTTCACTTTTTGAGTACTTTCTTCATTTTTTTTCTTCTTTTTGAAGTCATATTCGGATAGAGCATGAAAAACTGCATCGATCTATATATATAACTCATTGGATTAAAAACTCGTTAGGAAACAAATTGGCCTACGCTTCATAGTATATAGGTCTTTGTTCCTGTTTTTTTCAGTTTCTAGCCGAATAAGCTGAGAATATAAACTTGTTAAGCCATTGATCTGATAGGAATTGATAGAACAATCAATTTCACACACATATAAAGTATTATTACTATTCTAAACTGACTTTTAGGGTCAAAAGGTAGTGATTTTTAGACTAAGGTCAAAAAAACATCCTTTGTTAGAATAGACCGTTTTTTCATTTAAATCACTTTTTTATACAAAACAAACCTTATATTCGTGATCGGCATAGTCGATAACCTACATCTAGCTCAAATTGGAGGAAGAAAAAAAAAATTTTTTTTTTGTTCCCTGGGGTACCAGGGCAAAAATTTTTTGAAAAAAAATACATAGTTTTGTTCAGAATTTAATACTGATTCTAACCATGTAATTTTTTTCAAAAAATGTTGGGGGCGAGAAAATGGCCTTACCGCCACTTGTCCTTTGTATCTTTGTTATCATTGTCTAAAAGATATCGATCAGAAAAAGTTGAATTTTTGGTAAAAACTAATATGATATTCAGAATCAACATAAAAAACTGAGTTGGTCTATACATGATTTAAGGAACTTGCTGGAACAGTTCTAGTTCACTTTGAACACAGGATTAGCACTGATTGATGTGATTAATACACGGCACAGCATTGCATGAGGATGAGGGCTGTGTCTAAACTTTTAATTTTGCGAAGTCATGTTACTATCGAATGATTTTGCCCATAAATTGATTTATTTTTTTACGAAATTAAAAAACACAAAAAAAAGATATCACTCGCATTTTATTTTTCCACTAAAAATTAAGATTGAAGACACATCAAAGGTCAAATGGTCCATTAGTACTTTTCTTGTGCAACTCTAATGAATCATATACCAATAGAAAGAGTATGTTGATACTATTTTCATGTCGTGTTGATTTAATTTTGAAACTTGAAAGCTATCAACAAGGTGACATATTGTTGATCTTTATTCGAATAATCCATCTGCGTCATAGTAAATTCAATTTGAGAATAGACAGAACATAACTAAAATTATGAGTATTATAGCTTTTTTTTAATGGAGTTTCAATTCTATATATCAAATCATTAATTGATTGTTTATTTAAACGAAATATAGATCTGAGTACTAGCATATTTATTGTATTGATCATTTATTTTTATCTTTGAACAAATATTTTAATTTTAAAAATCGAAATTCTCGTATTGTTCATTTAATAGCTCTTCTAAAAAGCTATAAAACTATATATTTTCCAAAGTAAAAAAAAATGTAGCCACTTGAAAAATTCCTCAGTGCATTTGATAAAAAAAAGTAAATTCCATCAAAAACATTATAAAGAAACTTCGAAAGTTGTTTAAAGTTATTAGATGATAGATATGCGTAAAATAAAAGTACAGTTTCCAATGAATACATTTCTCGTATAATACCTAAGGAGACCACAGGTCAATATATTTAAACACTCAATTAATGATTGATCAAATTTGCTACTCCAATCGTTGGATATTAACAACGAGTGACCTCTATGAAAAACTTTTCATAAAAAAATTTCTCAGAAATTTAAATAAAAATGTTTTAACGTATGAAAATAAATTTATGTATTGTCTAAAACAAAATCATTTTTTTCAAAATCTTTCCATTAAACCTTCCCTATAGGCCTCTGTTCTGTAACTTTGCACCACAGATCATCCAAAACTGTTTTTTGCTTTCGTTGTTTTCTATAAATAATTTCAATCAACAACATCTGAAAATAAAATTATGAAACGAGCTCTCGTATCTTTAGTTCGTCAACGAGCACTTGCTCGTAGTTCGGAATCAGCAAAAGTAAATTTATATACAAAAGAAGTCTTTTTTTGTTTTGCTATTTTATTTTTTATTCAAAGTATCTCGGATGTAATCATGTTTTTGCTTTATCAACATCACGACCAATGTCAACAACATCAACACGTTATGCTGCTCAATCAGCACAAACAACACCGGAAGTTTCTTCTATTCTTGAACAAAAAATTCTTGGTCATCAATCAAAACAAGATCTTGAAGAAACTGGACGAGTTTTAACAATTGGTGATGGTATTGCTCGTGTTTATGGCTTAAAAAATATTCAAGCCGAAGAGATGGTGGAATTTTCTAGTGGTTTAAAGGTTTGTTCTAATAGTGAAAAAAAAAATAAATGAATCGAATATTTTAATCCTAAGAATCAATTTATTTCAATTTCATGTAATCTTATAAGAAATTTTGATTATTTATTTTTAGGGTATGGCACTTAACTTGGAACCTGATAATGTCGGTGTTGTCGTCTTTGGTAATGATCGATTAATTAAAGAAGGTGATATTGTTAAACGAACTGGTGCTATCGTTGATGTACCTACTGGTGATGAATTACTTGGTCGTGTTGTTGATGCTCTTGGTAATCCTATTGATGGCAAAGTAAATATTAGTTTTATTTGTATTATCAATTAAAATTGTTATTATTTTCTTTTAGGGTCCATTAAACACGAAAAAACGAGCTCGTGTTGGTATTAAAGCACCTGGTATTATTCCACGTATATCGGTACGTGAACCTATGCAAACAGGTATGAAAGCTGTTGATAGTTTAGTACCAATTGGTCGTGGTCAACGTGAATTAATTATTGGTGATCGTCAAACTGGTAAAACAGCTGTTGCTATTGATACAATAATTAATCAAAAACGATTTAATGATGCTGGAGAAGAAAAGAAAAAACTTTATTGTATTTATGTTGCTATTGGACAAAAACGTTCAACTGTTGCTCAACTTGTCAAAAGACTTACTGATGCTGGTATGTATTCTTTAATTCTTTGTTCTATATTATAACTATAATCAATTAATTCTTTAGATGCTATGAAATATTCAGTTATTGTTGCTGCTACTGCTTCTGATGCAGCACCATTACAATATTTAGCACCATATTCAGGTTGTGCTATGGGTGAACATTTTCGCGATACAGGTCGACATGCATTAATTATTTATGATGATCTTTCTAAACAAGTAAAAATGAATGAATATTAATTTATATGAAGAAAAAAAAAAAAGAAGTTTTTATTTTTCAGGCTGTTGCTTATCGTCAAATGTCTTTATTATTACGTCGTCCACCTGGTCGTGAAGCTTATCCAGGTGATGTCTTTTATCTTCATAGTCGTTTACTTGAACGTGCTGCTAAAATGAATGATAGTCATGGTGGTGGTTCATTGACAGCTTTACCTATTATTGAAACACAAGCTGGTAAATAAAATAAATAAATAATATAATAAATAAATCAAAGAATAATTATTTATTTAGGTGATGTATCTGCTTATATTCCAACAAATGTTATTTCAATTACAGATGGTCAAATCTTTTTAGAAACTGAATTATTTTATAAAGGTATTCGACCAGCTATTAATGTAGGTTTATCAGTATCACGTGTTGGTAGTGCTGCTCAGACAAAAGCTATGAAACAAGTAAAATATTTCGAAAAGATTTTAGTTTAATGGCGTTTTGTTTTTTTTGATTAAAATGAAATTGATTGTATAGGTTTCAGGCAAAATGAAACTTGAATTAGCTCAATATCGTGAAGTTGCTGCTTTTGCACAATTTGGTTCAGATCTTGATGCAGCTACACAATCATTACTTAATCGTGGTGTTCGACTTACTGAATTACTTAAACAAGGTCAATATGGTTAGTTCGACAATTCTTTTGTTTTTTTTGTTTTTTGTCTAATAAACTTCAATTTATTTTGTTTAGTACCAATGGCTATTGAAGAACAAGTATGTGTAATTTATGCTGGTGTTCGTGGTCATTTAGATAAAGTTGATCCATCAAAAATAACCAAATTTGAACAAGCTTTCTTACAACATTTAAAAGGACAACATAAAGATATACTTGAATCGGTTCGTTCAAAGAATGAAATTACTCCTGAAACAGATGCTAAACTTAAAGAAATCGTTCAAAATTTTGTCGGTTCATTCAAAGCCTAAATTAATAAAACAATCATTATGACAATGTCATGTTTTTCTTTTTAATTTAAGTAGTGATGTGATGTTTTTTTTCTTTCGTTGTCCGAATTTCGAAAAAGATAAAAACTCTATCTTAGACTTGTAATCTATCCAAATATAATATACCCATTTCGTTTGTGCGACCTATTGCTTCTTCTTTTCTATAGTCTAATTTGGTATATTTGTCTGTTTTTTCTCTCTCTCTCTCTCTCTCTCTCTCTTTTTTTTTCTCTATCCGTCATATAAAATAGAATATAAAGGAAACATTGAATACATCATTTATAATAACCAAAAGAAGAAATAAATAGTTTATGCGAGATTAACATTTTATTTAATCAATCAAAATCAACTGCATTGCAGTATGAAGGGTAACAAAAGGTTCTGGATTAAAATAAATATAGGAAAAAGTAGAATATTTTTTTTTTATGCGTGTGTGTGAGTTTGTTTTTATCGAACAAGTGCTTGATATTGACAATTAGGTGGCCGAAGTGTAATACCAGGTTCACCACGAAGATCTTTTGGTATCCAACCATCAACAAAACGAAATTCAAATTTTTGAAATAAACTGACTAATATCAAGAATAATTGAACTTTTGCAATTTGTTCACCTATAAAAAAAAACAAGATAAAAGAAAAAATTATGTTTATAGTAATTAAATAAAGAATAAAACCTGTGCAAGCACGTTTTCCAACACTAAATGGCATCATAGCTGGATGATTAACATCTTTTAAATTATTATTTTCATCTAAAAATCTTTCAGGTTCAAAATTATCTGGTCTTGCCCATTGTGTTTCATCTTTCATAGCTGACCACATATTAACAAGTATAAATGTATCTTTTGGAATAAAATAATTTCGAAATGTAATATCATGTGTTGTTGCTCGTGGTAATAATATTGGTCCAGCACAATGACAACGCATTGATTCAAGTAAAACAGCTTCAATATAAGGCATTTGAATACGATCTTTATCACATGGTGGTCGATCTTTACCAATAATACGATCAATTTCTTCATGAATTTTTTTTTGAACATGTGAATGTGATACAATATAAAATATTGTCCAATTTAATGTATTTGATACTGTTTCAGTACCAGCAACAAAAAGATCTTGAACAAGTGAATCAAGATTTTGTTTTGAAAAATATCGATGTTTACTTGTTTCATCTAAATAAGCATCAACAATATTATTAACAAATTCAGGATCAAAATTTGTTTCACGTTCATCAACTAATGTTTGTATAACACGATTACAATCATTAACATTTTCAAGTATATTTTTTTTAAATCGTCGAGTAAATGGTAAAAAATTAAAACATGCTATTGTTGCTGTTTGATTAAAATTTTCATTTATTTTTTCAAATAAATTTGTCATATTCATTGTTTCAAAATAACGACCAAATGTAAGTGTACATATATTATTACATGCTATTTGACTTAACATATTACCAATACGAAATGGTGATGATTGTTTTTCTCGAAGTTTTTCAGCAACTAAACGTATTTCATCAAGACAACCAGTTTCTAATGATGATCGTCGACGACCAAATCGATTAAAACTTTTAATTAAGAAATTTTTATGTTCATTAAATTCTCGTCCATATGGAGCTGATATAACACCTTTACCATGTAATGTTGCATGAATCATATGAAGATATGGACGACCAGCAAATGTTTCACTATGATCATGTAATGCTTCACGAATAACTGACGTTGAATTTAATACAACAACCGTTTGTGAACCAAGACGAAGACGAAATATTGGTCCATATTTTGCCATCTTGGACCAATGATACATTGTTTCATATGGACGATAGCCTAATTGAAAAAGATTACCTATTATTGGCCACGGATGTGGACCTTCGGGAATTGTTGTTAATAAATCAAATTTTTTGTTTTTATAACACTAAAATAATAATTAATTTATATATTTAAATATCATTAATTAAGATTTAATTACTAATATTGATAAGAATACTTACAAATTGATACATAATACTCATGCTCAGCATGATTACAAAGGCGACCAGCACCAAGACTAACATTATTATAGAAATTTTTTTTCCGTTAGAATGTCTGTATTTACCATATTTAGATCTATTTTATATTATATTCTAAAAAAAAAAGGCTAAAAGAATTTTCGGACGTAAATGATTTTTTCTTCACGACAAATTATTATACATAATTAATATTGTGTAGGCAATAGAAAAAAACAATATGTTTTGAAATCATACAGATTTTGTCATTGATTATTAGTCATTTAAAGAGAAAAGCTTTTTATTTTATTGTTATAGACACTAATGTATATTTCTGGTATTTATCAAACAAAAAGAAAAAATGTTCTTTATGATAAAAGCCAAAAGAATGTATATGTTTTTTTTAGAATGAACTATTTCAATAATTAATTCAAATTATATAGAATATTTGTCCTTTTCGGATATCATTTGTAACGACACAAAAGTATGATGTTAAAGATTATTATTATTATTTTTTTTTTTACAATAAGACATCATTTATTTAAATTTTTTGTTTTTTAATAATAATTTCAAATTTAGATATAAGTGAATATATATGTTAAAATTTTCTTGTTTTATTTGTAAATCATTTTAATTGTGACTACATTTCAAGAAAAAGAAAGATTCGGATACTTATATCTATTTATGTTAAAAATTAAAATCTTCATCTATTTTATTTTAATACAATTTGAAATAATTTAAAATCTATTCATAATTAGACATGTATGAAATCAAGTTATATATTAGTTTACTTCTTGTTGAGGAATTTCAATCGTAGGTATGATAAATCTCGTGTGTGTGCCTGTAACCTTTCTTCTGTAATTTCGAGTCTGCACATGTCTTTTCACGTGTAACAATTACTAAAAAAAGGAATGTGATTAAAGTAAATGTTTATTATCAAAAGAAGTCATATACACAAATGACAAAAGAACGATTGTCTAAGGACAAATGAAGTCATGTTCTGGAGTTTTTATAGAATATAAATATAAATGAAAAGTTCAACAGCATAAAAAGGTTAATATCAAAGATTAACAATATGATTTGTAATAGTTTTTTTTTCTTTTCTATTGAATATATAATAAATATTATTGTTGAGAATTTTCATTTTCACTAGGATTTATTGTAGATAATAATTGTTTATTTCTATATATAATAATCCAATCATATTCATAATCATATTGATCACCTTTTTGATAAAGTAAATAACGAAATAAATATCTTAAATAATTATAATCAGGTCGATTATCAAATATAAGTGTACGACAATAATCAAGAAATAAAAAACATTCTTTTGGATAATTTTTACATATTTGTTCTGATGTTATTTTCATTTTCATTTCAGCAATACGTTCAAATTTTGATTTTCTTCCTGTTGCTTGTAAACCTTGCCATGGTAATGTACCCATTATAAAATACATAAATACATAACTAATAGCTTCTAAATCATCACGACGTGATTGTTCACTACCTTTATGTGCATTAATTGATGCATATCGAGCAGTACCTAACAAATATAAGAACTTTTGTGTTACATCACTAACGCTGATTTTCTCAGGGTATCTAGATTAAAATATCATTTCAATAGCTTATAGTTAACGAAATATATGTTTATCTTATCATCATTCACTTATATACCTGTAAGACTTTTATTATTTTTCCAAGGTATATGTACAAATGATTTAGGATCTCTATATCGTTTTGAAAGACCAAAATCGATTATATAAACAGTATTACCCATAGATTTAATACCCATTAAAAAATTATCTAAAATATAATTGAATCAAATTTTTTATCTATAAATAAAAAATTTTTCAAATTCTTTTAACCTGGTTTAATATCACGATGAATAAGATGACATGTATGAACATATTCAATTCTTGATATCATTTGATCAACAAGCATTAATGCTGTTTTTAATGTAAATTTTCTATTACAATAATTAAATAAATCTTCTAATGATGGACCTAATAATTCAATAATCAATATATCATATATTCCTTCACTACCATAATATTCAATTTTTGGAAAACCTTTACCACCTTGAAGTTTTGTATAGATTCTATGCTATTGAATAAATAATTTAAAGGACATTATCAAATAAGATGATCTATTCCGAATTAAACCATGTTGTAGAAGCAAGTTGAGACGTGTCGAATAGTATATACAGGATGGGCCAAAAGTCATCAGGCCATCTTTAATTTCAAATAACTTTTAATACAATCAGGATAAGCAGCTGCGATTTTCCACCATTCAAAACAGGATGTGTTACTACAAAGTTCTATGTATTATTCAACAATACAGATTGTTGACCTAATAATCAGTTAGTGATCCTTAGCAAGATTTTGATAACTCTATGAAAAGGATATAGAAGTTCAAATCAACAAAACAGCTTCGATTCGTGTGCTCACAATCGGACCTATTATCTTCTTCCAATGGAGAGTTTTAGATAGCGACGATGACAAGCGTGATTTCTGGGTGTACGATTGTCAAGCTTTTCACAGGTTACAAGCTGATATACTTAACATCTCCAATCATGCTATTTTTGATAGGAAAAATGCAGTTTTTCAATAATTTGTCACCATTTTTTGTGAATCTCGTGTGTCCAATAGTGTTGATCAGACACTAAATCCACGATGTAGTACTACAAAAAATATTATTTTGAAGTTCTCCAAAAATTTCTGTGTGATGCCGAAAACAGTCTTGCATTGAGAACCTTTAATCAATTTTCCTCTTTTAATACTGTATTTTGACTACCAAAAATTGATTCTGATGCTAAATAAATATGATATCCGGAATCAGCATAACAAACTGCATTGAATGCGTTCTATTTCAACTAAACATTTTTTTTCGTCATAGTTGATCCGTAGGGAATTACAGGGCGAAGTTCAGGAAAAAAAACGGTAAAGAAGTACCGTTCGAATTTCGACGGAAAAAATATTTACTCAAAATATAAGGTATTCAATGCAGCTTTTTTATGCTAATAGACCTTCTTCTCAAAAAAAAAAAGTCAATTTTCATCAGAAATTTCGAAATTGAGATAAAAGCATGGTAAGATAGCCCGTGATTTGATCTTTCATAAACGACAAAAATTTTTACTCGGCATCTTCTTTTTTACAAAAAAAAACTGAAAAATCTTTTTTCTCAGTTTATACTTTTTTCGATCGCGCGTTTCAAATTTCTCTGTCTAGGTTCATCCTATAGATTGAATGTTCCTGGACTGAGATCAATTTTTGAGGACGAGGGAAAGGCCTTAAGCATTCTCAATGCAAATTTGTTTTCGGGCGTCGTATACAAATTTCGGAGAACTTCAAAATAATGTTTTTTGTAGTACTACATCGTGGATTTAGTGTCTGATAAACACTATTGGACACACGAGATTCACAAAAAATGATGGCACGTTATTGAAAAACCGCATTTTTCCTATCTAAAATAGAATGATTAGAAATGTTAAGAATATCAGCTTATAGTCTGTGAAAAACTCTACAACACTATATAGAGGAAAAATTTTGAATGATACCAAGGACCACAATGATCAGGTAATTAATCTTATAAAAATAAGATTTATCATATACCATCGGACGCGTCTCGACTTGCTTCGGAACATGGTTTAATTCAGAATAGGTCATCTTATTCGACAGAATACTTTAAACAAAAAATATAATTGAATTTCATTTACTTCAATTGATAATTGAGGATTATTATTCATCATATGTGATTCTATTTTCATAGCCCATTGTTCATGTGTATGTATATGTTGACATAAATAAACTTGTCCAAATGATCCAGCACCTAATTTTGATTCAATTCGATAATTATCAGCTATAATACGACCAGTCATATCAAGTTCATGATATTCTTCTTCTTCTTCTTCTCCTCCTTCTGTTTCAGTACCATATGAATCATCATTAATTTGTATTTGAGAATTAGTCCCATTGGACTCGATTGTATCTGTTATTATCGTCGACGTGATTTAAATAAATAAAAACATACAAACAAATAATATATATATAGATACTCTCCCGCATTATTTTCATTTATTAAAATATAAAACACACACTTTGAAATAAAATCAAAGAAAAAAAACAGAAAATTTTTTTGTTGTTGTTGTTGTTGTAATATTAAGATTTATCTCGTTTACGTTTAATCAATGAACAAGTAAATGATGATGATGATGCTGAATATGCAAGTAATTGTTGATATGAACGTTTTTTAAGTATAATTTTATCTGTATATGCTGGATCACGTAATAAATCACTGAATATTTGTGATGTATTTATTGATTTATATCGTCTTGCCCAAGCACCACTTACATTTGTTGTAGCACAACGTCCATAGAATTTTGATTCACTATTTTCATCTAATACAATAGCACTCGGAAAACGCTTATTACGATTATTAGCACTTTTATTTGTTACTTCAGGTAAACTTGAACATTGTTTTCCTGTTGCCATTGATAGAGGTGAACGAACTTTTACTGATCGAACAGTTGATTCATCAACTGGTAATAATGACATGTATGCATTACGTGCATTCTACATAGAAAATGAAAAATATATATATATATTATTTTCAATTATAAATATAATTACCATTTTCTTTTCTGATGAATTTAATGGTCTTTGTAGACTTTTTCCTTTTGGAAATAAATCTTTCATATTATATGAACGATTATTATAACCAAGCATTGAAGTTCCATCGATATATGTTGTTGTCATAGTTCTTTTTAATGTTCCAGGCCACATATTGTAAGTTGATGATGTGAATGTAGAATTATGATCAATATAATCTTTTTGTGTAGTTGCTGAATTCATTGGTACACGACGAAATGATGTATCATAGTAGTCTGTGTCGCTTGTTGCCATTTTTGTTGTTGTTGTTTATATTTAACAATTTTTAAATCCAACAATTGATCGATGTCTACAAACTTTAACAATGAACAAAAAAAGGAATAAAAAAGAAAAAAAAAAGAAAAGAAAATGGTAGTCACGAAAATATAAAGAACAAACCAACGAAAGAAAGTGTAAGAGAAAAAAACGAGGTGTAAAATGGAATTTAATAATTTTCTTGTCTAGTTTTGAACTACGTAAAACTGAAATATGAATCTATATGTTATATTATTAATTATTTTGAACTATTGACTATTTTAATTTATTATATATGGAAAGAGAAAAAAAGAAACGAGAGAAAAAGGATTGCGCACATTATTTTACATTTATTATTGAAAATATGTCATACAAATGAATGTATTTGTCATCAACATCTACTAAAATGCATGCAGACAGAACACTAGGAATAAGAGAAATTGATTTAGAAATGATTGCAACAATGTTTGTTCGTTTTCAAAAATCATTTGAATACATAATTTTATAAACAATAAAATTCAATTTATTTCGTATGTCACAAAAAAGAAAAAAAAATCATTTGTCGTCTTATATGTATGATTAAAATTTACTATGTGTAATTCAAAAGACATATATACACTAAAGAATTACATCGAAATAATCATTTTATTTCGTTGATTATAATTGAAAGATTTATTAATAAATTTAATTATTATGATTCTCGACAAGATATTTGTTCATTTTTGACTCACTAGAAAATATTTCTGATGAGATAAAAGCTATAAGTTTATGCTGCTTTTTTTGTTTGAATATAGGCTTAGAAATTTTGTTCGAAAGTAGTGAAGTTTGAACAAAAATGTTTTTGTCTTTTCACTATTGCGATTCGAAAAAAAAAAAAAGTTAATATCTTTATTTATATATCAACTTTTTTTGTCTTTCGATAAGACACATTAATTTTTATTTTTCAAAAATCGAAAACTGTTTTACATTGAAAGAAATTCTTGAAAAAATGCTTGAGTAAAAGCTACAGCTTAGTTCAATATTAAAGTTTGTACAAGATTGTTTACTCTACAAAACGATCAACTCCGGTGGTTTTTCACATATTCGAAAAGAGATGATCAAAAATCTGTTTGCTCATTATTAAAAATATTGTATATCCCAGACTCTCAATTATATCTCTTGTAATTCTCTACAAAATGGTATGTATTTTGTGAATCTATATCCAAAACAAGCTTCACATGAATGGTCCAAAATAAATATTTTTGTAAAACAACTTTTTATGGAATTTTATGAAGAATATGTTTTGATGTTACTTTTTCACAATCATTATAGTAATCAAAATTATTTCAAATTGAATGATTCAATGAATTTAAACGTGAATCATTCAATGGGCAAAATACTTCTTGTTGATGGAAATGAAAACAAAAGTTGTTCTGACATCATTATTGTATTAATTGAATAATGTAAGGTTTCGTATTGTCATGATGAAATTTCCAATCTGACACTGCTTGTCATGTTATAATCACAAGATATTATATCATGTTAAATGTAAATATATAATACTATTCAAGTACCAATAAAATATGGATATGAAATTCTTGGAATAGATTTCACATTATTAAAACAATTTTTCCTTGTTTCATCAACAAGAAACATTGATCATTGAATAATTTACATTTAAATTCATTGAATCGTTCAATTTTAAATGAATTTAGCTAAAGTCTATACAAACGAATATTACAAGAGAAATAATTGAAATACTGAGAGGCTTATTTTTTATGTCTTTTAAAAAGAGCACAAATTTATAACTTTTTATTCATCGAAAATACTTTCTAGCAGGTCTACAATGAATAAACATTTCGTCTCAAAAGTTTTCGATCATTCTTTATTTTTAACTAAAAACAATCGTCAATTATTGACCGATATTTTTTTCTTTTTGCTGTGATATAATTCGCTTACAATTGTAGAATATTTAACTATAATCTTTAGTTCCGATTGGGATAACTTTTTTATCATAATTCCGGTTTCACACATTTCTACGCATATATCAATAATTGTTTATGTAATCGAACTTGCCAGTCTGTTATCATTATTTATCATAAAATTAATTCAATCTTAGATATATATATACGAATTTGAAAGTCAAAATATACTGATGAATATTTCATAAGTTTTATTCTATTAAAAACAAACAATTGATTAGTATTTTTTTGTTTATACAAAGTCATATATTTATAGACTAGTTCTATTCAAAAAAGAATCACAAACGATTTATTACTATATTCTTATGATTAATTGTTATCATTCACTTTTTAATTTTTATATAAAAAATAATTTCTTCAATCTTGATTTAATTAATTTATTTTTCTGCAAAAAAAGAAGTCTGAATAACCAACAATTATAATTTTGATCTTTTTGTACTATTTATTACTAATAAAAAAAACAAGAAAAGAATAAACTTGCTATTAGACATTCGATGTGTTTTCTTCTTAACAAATTTTGAAATCTAAAATATCTGAAAAACAAAACAAACTTACCTGTTGTTCCTTCACAGCCACAGACGAAATTAACTAGTTATGCCTAGAATTGTTTTAAATAAAAAGTGAGAATAAAGTGAACTGAAGCTAATGGCAGAATAAAAATTTTTTTCAATACAAAAATTTGAAGCATAACAAATGCTGTAGGATGACCTAATAATATGTTGTTAAGAAAAATTTAATTCAAACGAAGAAAAAAAAAAGGTTTTGCTACTCTAGCCTGTCTTCTATTTAGGAGAAACAAAATGACCCCATTAAAAAAGTTTATTCCTTCTCCTATATATTTATATATATATCTTGCTGTTAACAACGTTTGCAATAAGTTTACTCTTACTACAGACTTAAAAGTTAAATAGATTGTGCAAACAAGAAAAAAAAACTGAAAAGTAAATGATTGAAATCATTTTAATACATTCTTTTACATACAACAACGTCATTACATATTAGTCAAGGATACTATATGTTAAAACAACTACTATGAGTTTAAAAAAGTAACAAAATTTAGTATAATTTAATAAAACATACATTGAAAATTAATTGAAACTAAATTCAATTTTCTTTGTGAGTATTTTTGCTTGTCCAACGAATCATAATCGAATACGATCGATTTTCGAGGGACAATTTCTTTTAAGTAGATGTTGACAAGTTCGATTAAGTATATAATTGAAAATACGTTTAACATTGATCCATTTAGTTTCTTTCATTCTTTTTTTGAAATGTAACATATTTTAAAAGAATTAAATAGAAAAGCAAAAAAATAAGAAAAAAAAAACTTGTGAAGATAGATCTCTTCTTTTTTTTTATTTTTTAATATGAATATATTTTACATTTTTTTATTTCTTTATCTGGACATTCACGAAGTTTATCAAAATAATAAAAAAATCCATCTTTTCGACGTTGTAATTTTTTAACAAAACCACTATCAGGCCATACATCAATCTATTAAATAAAAAAATAATAATAATAAATAAATAATAGAATTTACATTAAAATAATAAAATAATCAATGACCTCAGCTACTTGTCGAAGACGTTTATATTCAAGTTCATCACGATAACCAGCTAATTGAAACCGATAAGCATTTTCAACTTCTTTTGACCAATGTGTTGGACGAATTAATGATTTAGGTTCGAGTAATGTTAAAGCGGATGCAGCCATAAGGATCAAATTTTTTTTGTAATATGTCCTTACAATACAAGAACAAAAAAAACACGATGTTAGTTCGAATCAATAATTTATACAATAGTGTAAAACATGATGGCATAGAAAATATTGTTATGATAGAAATACCTCTTTATTGTTCGTTTAAAAAACTTTTTGATTTTAAAATAGATGTCGTGAACTCTACATAGAGTAAAATCATGTCTTTCAAATAAAGACGTGTTGAGTTTCGTTAATCAATTACACATTGAACGCAAAAATGAACTTTACATAAACATCGATAACGTTAACGGTCTTAAACCACTTAGATCTGACCAAAAATTCTGATAACAGTGTTGACTAGACAAAACTCAATTCTAACAAAAAAATTTTTTGAAAAATAGATAATGAATTCGATAATTCGGACTATTTTGGGAATAGATGCAAAGACAATTCGCAAGAACCTTATAACAATATTGGAACGTAACGCTCCATCATATTGAATAGTTGTCAGATGGGCAACACATTTTTATGAGGAAAGAGAAGATTTCAATGATGATTCTCAGCCTCAGCATCCGGCTTTCGAGCTCACAAACAGAGATAAAACTGGTCTGGACCTTTTACGAGCGGCACCAGTACCAGCCTAAATAGGCCAGACCAACCAGTCGGTAAAGCCATCGGGTCAAAGAATTTTCGGACCCCATGGGCTCTACTGGTTAGTAACCTGTGCAGATTCCATCTCTTCGAAACTACTCTCTCTCTCTCGTGGTACAATAGAGAGAATTATTCGCGATTGTCTAAACATGAGAAAAGTTACAATCATGTTGGCTACCTCATCAATTCAATGATGAACAAAAGCAAGAACGAGTTAGAATATGTAGCAAAATCTTCTGATGAAATATGGCGATTATATAATACTAGTATAGGTGATGAGACATGAATCTATCATAGACAAATTGAATGCAAGTCAACTAATGTAAGCTGAATAAGTGAACATGAATTGTTCAACGAAATAGATATGAGCAAAAAAAAATTTATTTTGTATATTTTTTAAATCAAATAGTGCTGTTCTTATACATTGCAGCGTTTGAACCGAACCGGTTTAGAAAGTCAACCGGGCCGGTAAATACTGGAAATTTACCGATTTAAGTTTAAAAAAGATTATCTTTACTTAGCTCTTATTCGATAAGAAGAACTATGTACGTATTTTGCTATGAAGTAGAACAAATTCTCCATCATTATACATATATGTCCAGAAAGTCTTTCGATAGTGCCAATATTAAAAATTTTGTTCAGTTTATAATCGATATTTATCGCGATGATTGTAATACTATGATAGACACGAAGACAATTAGGCATATGTTTTATCAGTTTTGAAATAGACCAGGCAGTACTATATAAATCAGTTAAGAAAATCTTAATATCCTTTTGAAAAAATGATGATGCTTCATGCATGAGATGCCTAATTCGAGTTCGAATATAAATGAACCTTCGACTGCGTAATATTACTACGAAAATAAACGAAAAAACGGCACCCATTTTATTTTGGCAAAAAAGCAAAAGATAAATTTTATCCTAATTATAAATTTATAATTCGAATTGAAACACTTATAGAAGTCTTATATGTAAAACTTTAAACTTGAATTCAATTGAGTTTTGAAGTTTCAAGTCCAAATGTAATCGAGGGTGGAGAACTCGAATCTGATATTTCTTTTAATTAATTATTAACCAATTATTAATTAATTATTAACTAATCGTTAATTATCAATGTTTTCCATAAAACTTCACCAAAGGGTAATTGGGGGTGAAGAACTCGAATCTGATATTTCTTTTAATTAATTATTAACCAATTATTGATTAATTATTAACTAATCGTCAATTATTAATGTTTTCCATAAAACTTCACCAAAAGGTAATCGGGAGTGAGGAATCGAAATCTGACGTCAGTTTTAACTAATTAATTATCAGCTAATTATTAAATAATCATCAATTATTATTATTTTTCGTAAAACTTCACTAAAGGTAATCACAGGTGAGGAGTCCAAATCTGAGATCAGTTTTAATTAATTAATTAATAATTAGTTATTAACTATTTCTTATTGTGTATTTTCTTGGTTTCTTTTCTTATTGTGTTTCTTTTTTATGAAATTACTCATGTACTTTCCCAATTGTATTGTTACTTACTTGGAATATCTAATCCTCTATCTAACATTTGGTATAAATACCTGCTGTTTTTTATGTAAGAGTATCTAATTTAGGTTAGAAATAGGCTTATATACACAATAAAGTATTAAAAATCTAATATCTGAAAGCAGTCCTTCTACGAGAAAGAGCTGAGCGAGTCTGTAGACGAGCGTTACTGTATATCAAGCTTGAATATTCAATTCAACTATTCAATAAATGAATACTTGAACTTCAAGTTTTGAAGTATTCAGCTATTCGATCGCTGAATAGTTGAAGTTCACCTATTCAAATATTCCATTAGTCATCTAAGGAATAGTTGATGTTCAAGTATTCATTTGGGAAATAGTTGAAGTTCACCTGTTCAAGTATTCAGTTATCCAATAATTCAATAGTTGAACTTTAAATATTCGATAGTGTCAGTTCTAAAAGTTGATTTGAACTCTTCCATAAACTTACGAATATTGACTGATGGCGGTAAGCGCTTTTCTCCGACTAACTGGCCTTTTATATCAGTGTCGCGGCGTGGGGCGCGAAGCGCTCCCCGAAAAGCCGCGACCCATGCTCGTCTCTGTGTACACAGCAATCGAAGTATATTATGTTTAGACCCACTACTGAATACTTAAATATTTGAACTTCAAATATTCAATAACTAAATAGTTGAAACAACTATTCAATAATTGAATTCAAGTTTCAAGTTTTACATATATGTAGCCGCGAAGGCACTGATCGCGAAAGAAATGGTCACAATACGACGCATATCACATCACACGTGATCTGGATGCTGCGAAAGGAGTGGCCACAATATGAGACACATCACATCGTACCTAGTGTGGCTGCCGCGAAAGGAATGGCCACAATACGACACACATCACATCGCACCTAGTGTGGGTGCTACGAAAGGAGTGATCACTTCTTTCGTGGCCACAATACGACACACGTCACATCGCACCTGGTGTGGATGCCGCGAAAGAACTGGTCCGAAAAGGGTTGTAACTTGAAAACTCAATTCAATTCATGTTTCAAGCTTGACATACAGTAACGCTCGTCTACAGACTCGCTCAGCTCTTTCTCGTAGAAGGACTGCTTTCAGATATTAGATTTTTAATACTTTATTATGTATATAAGTTTATTTCTAACCTAAATTAGATACTCTCACATAAAAAACAGCAGGTATTTATAAATTCATCATCATCATTTATGATATTATATTGCAAAAGAAAATTCTTCAATATATCATTCATATACTGTTATTATTAAATAAACCCAAAGAAGTTATGAATGGAATATAATTCATCATGGTCAATATAATGATTTATTAAAATTTTTTCCTATTAGAAAGAAAATTTATATGAAATATAATAATTTATTTGATTAGAAAAATTAATTATTTTGTAGATAATTTTATTCATCATGAACAAATGTGAAATTCTTGATATTTTAGCAAATTCAACTGGAAATGTAAATGAAATTGCTTTTATTATTAAAGGTTTTGACTTTTTTAAACCCAGATTGAACGTCTTGAAGAGATTGAAAAAGAATTGGAAAACAAAAACAACAATCCGAACAATACTGAAACAGAAGAACAAAAAAAAGAGCGTGCATTTCAACAAGTTTTAGTTTCTTTTGTCGTCGAACGAACATTTGCTGAAAGAGATAAAGAACTTGAAAAACAATTGAGTAAGTCAAATTTTTTCAAACTTATTCATATTTAACTCATTTTTAAAACAGAATTAGATACCAAAATTGGTAATGTATTAGTCATTGGATTGCCGAAAAGTGGAAAGGTAAAATAGATCATTCTTTTTAAAGATAAAGATGTATTTTATTTTTAGAGTACAATGTTAAAAACTCTTAAAACAAATACAAGTGGTGATTTAGTAGCAAATGGTGATAATAGTATGAAATTTATAGTTTTCTTTTTTTCATTACAATTTTTCTATCGTTTCAGAAGAATTACACCTAAACAATATCAAAATATCAATATTTAATTGTTTAGACGATAATAAAGATCGTGTTTTAAAAAGTGTTTCAGGTGTTAACGTTGATGCAATAATTTTTCTTATCGACGCGATCAATCCTCATGTTTTTTTACAAGCTAAAAAAGAATTAGCATCACTAATCGACGATCTTGCCCTATTCTTTCCAGGTTCTTGTTTTTCTTTACTTTCAGACAAGATTCCTGTATTCAGGCAAGATTCTTTTCGACAGGAAAGTAAAAAGAATCTTGTCTGAATTTCAAAATGACAAGAATCTCGTCTAATTAATCAGAAATAAAATAGTCAGGCAAGAACCATAAGATATTCAAGATATATTTAACGTTCAGACAAGAATCTTTTTGTATTCTTTTAAAAAGAATTCTGTCTGAAGTTCAAGATCAAAAGAATCTTGCCTGAAAATTATAAAAAAAAACAGAAACTGGAAAGAAATATAAGATATTTTAAATTTTTTAGTATTCAGACAAGATTCTTATGATAGGAAAGAAACAGATTCTTGGCAGCTTTCCAAGATCAACGGCACGTGATGTTGTCTTTGTATGATCAAATATATAAAGGCAATGTCTGAACGTTATTTATTCATTATTGATTCGATAGGTAGTACAATTCACTTTGAATATGTACTTTTCCTAAAGCGTTCATTTCATTCAAACAACATCTAGCAACTCATTATTTCAATTGAATGTATAGAAAAAGTTTCCATTCAATATCGACAAAACAATGGAATATATGATATCTTTTTTTCCTTTGTTTTCAGAAAACTTACACTTATTGAACACATTTCGATATTTTACCAATCCATATCTTTCTATTTTATTTTTTTTTGGATTTTCTTTCATTATCCACAAAAGTGTTTTTTTTAACGGACGAAGAAAATCTCGATTCGTTCAAAAAATTATTGTTTGATAATGCTCTTGGTAATATAGGTAATATCTATATGCACTTTATATCTTTTTGGCTCCCATACTATCTTTTTTAGAGTCATCACCACATACAGATAAACAACGTCGATGGCGTGCTAAGAAAAAAGAGCAACATCATCGTACTCAATTATCTCTACATCGTTTACTAGTTGAACAAATGGTAAATAACTTATTTTAATTGAGCTAGCTCAACATACGACGATGATGAAGTTTGAAAAAATAAGCATTTTTTTTTTGATAATGAAAATTTTTTTTTTTTTGTGTTAAAAAACTGAAACTGCTTTAATAACATGTGAAATTAAAAGTATTTTTTTGTTTTTTTTACATTTTTTTGTACACGGTGTGCAAAACTTATAATAAAATGATATGAAAAAGAAAGTAATAATAATCTACAAAAGGCTTTTTTAATGTGACCAGAATCAGCCAAGAAACACAAGAAATAAGAAACAGACAAGAATCTAAGAAAAAAAGAATTAGGCAAGAACATCAAGAAGAATAAGAATCAGACAAGAATTCATGAAAAGCAAGAATCAGGCAAGAAGACAAGAATATAAGAATCTTGTCTGGAGAAGAACTTCTTGCCTCACCAGCCAAGATTCGGTCTACACGAATCTTGTCAGAAAGGCAAGATCAGTTTTTTCAGGCAATAATCTTGTATAGAAGGAATGGAAAAAGAATCTTGTCTGAAAACCAAGAAAAACAAGAACCTGGAAAGAATAGGGCAAGATCGTCGATTAGTGCAGTATGTATTACATTATTTTTTATGTAAAAAAATTCTTTTTTTTTTAATAGAATTTATTGATGAACAAAAATTTTTCTTATATATCAATTATGATATTGATAACAAAAACGGATCTTGATGGACTAGGGGTGCATCAGTGCCAGTAACTGGGTCCCAGTCGGACTGGATACCCAGTCCGACTGGATACCCAGTCCAACTGGGTACTTAGTCATTTGACGTTTATTCCGCTAATCAATCAGTACTTCCCTCTTTTCTAAGGGTGTGGGTTTGATGTTGGTATGGGTGTCGTTATTGTCATTCTAACCATTCCCACATCCAAACAACATCCACCCCCACATCCATCCAAACAACACCCACATCCACACACCTACACCCTAGCCACACCCACACCCTGAAGACATGAAATTTATTTATAGTATTCTAAATTATAACGATTGATATATAGATATATATGATTAGCCAATGGATTCAGTGTTATAGTTTATATCAGTACTTCAACAGCCTAAGAATCATTGTATGACAATATACTAATTCAAGACTGGGACTGGTGCATCCCTATTGATGGAACTCTTAGTGAAAGTGATATTCGTGATGTTTTTGACATTCCTGAAGTAAGAACTGAAGAAATAAACAAATTTATTCTTCTATTAAAATATTCTTTTAGGATGTTCTATGGTATAAATCAGTACACGATCGAGTTGTTTTTATCTTTTGCTATAATTTTCACAAGCAATGTACATTTGCGTGCGCATTCAGATACATTAGTCTTTTTTTAAAAGACTTATAAAATTTATTTTAAAACAAAAAGTAGCTTTCGATATTGGGTTTGAGTAACGTTTCAATCATAGCTACACTCACACCCACACCCCAACAAGGTATCGATATCATATCACACCCATTGTTTTCACCAGACTTTGCACAATATGATTTTGGACTAAGTGATTGTATCTAGCGCAATTTAACTTATCAAACAAATGAAAAATTGTTGGCCAAGATAATTAAAAATATCTCTTTATTTTCATTAAATGTGATCAGAACTTGTGATCAGCTAATTTTCAACCGAAATTTTTTACAATTATATAAACAATAAGTCAGACAGTAAAACTCATAGTATGACAATAGTAAAGATAAATCTTTTAAATTAACATGTCTTATCTTTGAAGACCTTATGTAGTATCGCTTGATACAAGATAAGGAAAACGAAATTGAAATCTTAGTTTCAATTTTTTTCATTAATAACTTATGTCGCATGTTTGCTCAGACTACCAGTAGTAGTTATCACATGGATACTTTTTTTTGGAGTGCAAAATACATTGTCTATGCAGTGGTGATGAAATAATTTTGATCAATTTGATTAGATAGAATTAGATTTTCTTTCATTTAAATTGTTTAATGTTTACATTAAGACCATACAAGATCTTATCATATCATTGTTTGAATTGAGTATGTGAACTTTTGAAGTTCATTCATCGAATATTGTTGGTCATAAGTGCATGTCGTGTCTATCATACATTCAGATATATGACTCTTATCATAATGATATACTTGACAAGTACGTTTATTTGCCATAAGAATTACGAAACAAAAAGAAGAGATTATTTTATCAAAAAAAAATGACATTTGTATCAGACGATTGATTCAAGATATGCTCAATTGAATTTTTAATTTACTAATAATAATGTAGTGATTAGCTCGTATGTTAGAAGCGTCGACCTTAAAGAAAATCTTTGGCAGATTATAAAATAAAATGTAGAAAAAACACCCTTGTTTAACTCTTTTCTTATTGAGATAAACGAAGAAAACTTAAGATGATGATACACAATAGTACTCTCTATAAGAGTATATATACAAAATATTTGTAGAATGAGAAGTGTTAGATTTCTTTTTTTGTAAATACATATTATCTATATATGCATTACTTCCATAATCGTTTTTATACATGAAAAAGGTAGGAATATTTGTCCGTTACCCTAATTGAACGACGGAAAGGAAAAAAATCTTTATATAAATGATAAATAACTGCAGGTTAGATTTCTCTTGTCATTTAAAATAGATTGTAGATCTACACCATAAAATGAATGCAAAAAGGAAAGGAAGAGCAAGAGAAATTATGAAGTATTTTTAATAGAAAATATTCTAAGCTAGAATTTTCTGTAGATGAACAGGAAATTGTTCAACAAGTCTTGTCTGTAAAAAAAAAAAGAACGGTAGACATAAAGAAATGCTATGATACTCTTGAATTTCAATATTAATTCTTCTTCCCACAATAATATCATCAAAAGTAATCTTATTTCCTTACAATATTGCTTTACTTTCTCCAATTATCTCCTTTTCTTTAACATAAAAGAAAAAAAACTTTTACAGACTAAAAATTAAAAATTCTTCGTTAATTCAAAGTCAATTCTATATTACGCATTGTATCTAAAAATGATTTATATGAAACTTGTTTCTCGTTTGGATTAATACTTGTTTGATCTTTACAATTAAACGTGATACGAATAACGTTAGGATTAGCATACTAAATTGAATGAATGCAGTGTCACACGGTATGTCAACATTAACACTAGATGTGATCTTTATTTATTCAGATAATTTTTGGAGTTAAAGATTACTTTTTGAAACTGAAGATTAAAGTGAAATTTCTTAATGCTGATGTAGATTTATTACTTTGCTAAAGTACTACGTTCTTATTACATAGAATGATAAAATATTGCATTTATGAGAAAAGAATTTAAAATCTATGTTCGACGATTATGAGATAAGTGAAATGAGTGGATTATATTGACGGTATGGGAACAAACATGTGCATCTCAATGTCATCAAAATCGATTCAGTTTTGATGTGATTAATCGGTTATTATTTGGACTTTAGAAAAAAAAAACTATGGCTTTTTATTATTTACGGCATATGAGGAAGATAAAATCAGCTTTTTTCTTCATCGTTGATAAAAGACGGTCGTACACCTGTTGAGACATAGTCGTAGTCTTAAAGACGAACATAACTATTATATGATCCAAAATAAAAGGCAGATTACTATTTTTCGAATAACTTTTGATGATAGGAACGAGATAGAGAGCTGCGGTTTTCACCATTCGAAAGAGCGATATCAGGGCCATCCATCGCTATAGAATTCCTTAAGATGAAAGATACTTTTTTCTTTGAGTATTTTCACAATAATCTCAACTCAAATTACCTTTTTGTTTTTCGCTATAAAATTATCACATATTTCATTATTTCTCAATCTCTTATTCTAAGCGGATAATAATAAAAAAAAAATGTTAATTTTAAATTTCAGTTGAGATTATTGTAAAAATACTGAAAGGAAAAAGTATTAATCCCAAGATATCTATAAAAAAGCATCTTTGTTCTTAATGAGATCTATACCGATCAATGGCCCGGACATTGCTCTTTCGAATGGTGAAAACCGCAACTCTTTATCTTGTTCCTTTTAAAAGTTATTGATGGACGTCACAGTATCCATAACTCGAGTATCAAGATTCACAATATAGCTATTAGAATATTCACTTAATGGATTCGCGACACCCATATGCCACTAAACTAACGATTTTCGTGTAACGAGATCGATACTCAGTTCCATGCTTATAACGAGTGATGCAAAAGTTTTTGCAAAAATGTCGCTTTATGTTTTCTTGGCTAAAACAAGTTGAAGAGAAATCGAAAATACCTATTAGGTATCTGCATTGAAAGCGCTTTCTAACTGTATGATCAAAAAAGTTTTAACATGTATTGGCTTCGAATAAAAAACACATCTTTAAACACTACTAAAATATACGCTGGAAAAACATCTTAATGTAGTTGTGAGAGAAAGGAACTGTTCTCTCATTATTTTTTGATTTTCTCCCATGTAGTCCATTGTATATTTCTGCTCTTTATTTCGTTAAATTTGCTGTTTAATTCTCTACGAACTTGATAGAAAATCGTACGTGATCGCTTTGGATAACACGAAAAAAGGAAACTGAAAACAACGCACTAAAACCGAATGTGAAACTGATGAGAGTCTGATAAGATTTTTTCGAGACCCAGATGTCACCATTACTATTCAAAATAGATACAATATTGATTCAGGATACTCGAGCTACAAGTATACCCCAGCTCTTATGTTGCCAACTCACAGAAATGGCAAAAGCAAGCACTGGCCAATACAAAATGGACATCAACTTGAAAATGATGAGAACTTCGAAGTTGTTTTTGTTTGGCAATGTTGTTTCAAAAATTTCAATAGTATTCATTATATTGATTCCTGAAAATAGAACATATATTCTAATAGATAGAAGAGCACAACATTGTGATAAAATGAGCCGAAGGATATCACAAAATACAGAAGGATTGATCATTTTGCCACAGTCGTTTTGAACAGTTTTTCTTTTACAATGTACATTTTAGTAGTGTTTGTTACTCCAAGTCGATACATGGTA